AGAAAATATATATATATAAATTCCTAGTTTTCTTCAACAAGGAAAGCATATTTTGCTTCGATTTCAGCAGCATTTATGGGCGTTCAAATACTTACAGAGAAGAAATTTGTTAAGAGTAGTTTGCGACCAGTTTGCGTACGGTGGCTACCAGGTGGCCTATAGCGGACATCCCAATGTTTTTTTGTGTGTTTGTTTGTTTGTTTTGCTTAGTTATCACGCGATAAATAAGAAATTTATCGCGCAATTAAGTTTACTTTGAATAAGAAATTCATCGCCGGATAATTAGTCAGTTTATAATCTTGTATTCTATTCATACACGCGCACATTCTTATGCACGCTATGCCGGATAGCCCTTGCCCCCGGGAAGGGGGAGGGGAGGTTACGGAAGCCGTAAGCCCCGTGCATGCAAACGGACACAACATTGTTGACCAACAATTCCCAACATTGTTGGATGTTACAGATTGCGTTCGTTTGCACACCCTTTTGCATGCTGTTGCAGGTTTTTCGGAGTTGTTGCGCAAAGTTTGAAACAGGTCAAACTTTAAGCTACATGCATATGCAAACGGATGCAACGACCCCCAACATTGTGGGCCAACAACGTTGGGATGCGAGTCGTTGCGTCCGTTTACATGTAGTCTTATCGGATAGACCTTCTGTTCACACATGAGAATGGCGATTTTCCGCAATCCGATCTTAAAAGTGGATGTTCATCACATGTCAGATGGGTTTCTATGCCACCTTTTGGCACAGTGTAAGCGGATGTTCATTATATAAACTGGACGCCAGGAGCCAATTAATCGGCTCCTGCTGAACACAGATTTTCATGTCGACTTGAAAAACTATCCGGTTGAGTGATGAAGACAAAGCTTCAGTCCTTCAGTGCCATATTTTGCCTGTGACATCATATCTTTAATCTCTCTGACTTTTCGGTTGAATTTTGCCATAAGCTCATTTTCATATTTTTCATGGGCAATACGGAAATGGTGAATCCGACCTACCGACATATTAGCAAACGCATTCAACGTTAAAAGAAAAGAAAGGGGATGGCCTAAAGGAGAATAAAATATCTAACAGGCCATTGAGGCAGCTATACACTTATATGCTGCAAATGAATCTAGCCTAGCAGTATGTAGGTCTAGTTGCTTACATGGGCACATCTAATTAAATATGCGTATTGCATATTCTTGAGTTTTCTCGGAACTTTTAGCAGCTACTAAACGAGAAACTTGAAATACGTTTGTAAAATATGTCTCAATGATTTATAAAGGCCGATGCACACTAAGGGTTTTGCTCCCGGAGCATGCTCCAGGCTCATTTTGTACTGCCAGTACACACTAGGGGTCATACTGCGAGAGCTAGCTCCTTGTTATGGTACACACGTGGGAGCAAACGAAAGAAACTTGGTGTGGGGTGGCTGATATTCACCACACTAGGCTTTGGGAACTAGTTCGAAAATAAACATGGCGACTTCCTTGCGGTCCAGGTCAAAAAAGAAAAAGTTGATCCTTTTGATGATGATGATGCTTGCAGATGACTCATCAGTTAGTAAACAAGTTGCCAGGAAATCTTGGGCTCGCCTGTGGCTTCTGAGAAGACAGGAGAAAGGGGCTTTTTATACTATTTTTCGAGAACTGTCCGTGGAAGATTCAGACGGATTTTGTGAATACATGAGAATGCCATACGCAAAATTCGAGCTCATCAATTTCTACACTTTCAGTCGACGCCACCTTGAATTTTGAGCACGAGTCAAGGGTTCCAAAGGAATTGTGGATGAAAATATTGGCTAATTTGATTAGTTAATGTTTTACATTTGCCGTATTAATCCACGTGCAACAAAAAATGTCAGTACACACGAGGGGGCGTTTTCAAGTTCGTTCAATTTTCCCCGGGAGCTGGCTCCCAAATATTCAGCTGGTTAAATATCGTGGAGCATTTTGAGGGTTGGAAATTCTGCTCCCGAGGATGAAGTACACCCATGAAATCGTTGGTACACACGGAGGAGCTTTGCTCCCGGAGCGTGCCCCTAAAGCATGCTCCGGGAGCAAAGCCCCTCGTGTGTACCGGCCTTAATGATATAACGAGCATGTCTAGGGAACATTATAATTGTTAATTAGTTCAAAACTGCGACGCACCGTTTTTTTCAAGGCTGTCTGCAGTGTAACTTATTAAGATATGGAAGTGACAGACAATTATTGAAACTGCACGTAAATGAAAAGGCAAATGTAATGACTTTAAATTTAAAAATGATATATAACATATTAATAAAAACAACCGTTCCTAGCCTCCATTTGATTATCAACCTGCAGGTTCAGTACCTCTTACGCTACAAAATCTCAGAATGAATCAAAACCTAAATTCCAGCGTTTTAATGTCTTCACTCAGGATTATCATCGAATATGACTAATATATTATTAGATACTAAAGAGACTAATAATGTGCGATACTGACCTACCGCAGTTGACACTGCTATAAGGATTTGTGAAATCTATACAAGGAGGACACCATAATATAGTACTTTAGCTGCATTAATTATTAAGTTATAAAGACCACTCGACTAGCTGTTTTGCAGTATTTATCTCTACTTTTTTGAGGTTAAAAAAGTATTGCTGCGATTTAAGTGCTAATACAGCTTACCAGGAAGTCCATGCAAATATCGACTGTCTATTTTCAACTCAAAATTAAGGTAATACTGAAGCATACTCTAATTGTTCTAATTCTGCACTTAAAACATGAATCGATTAAAATTAAATAAATACAGAAATGAACAGTACTTCAAAAAAGAGTGCTTGTTCATTCTTACCCTGAATTTTATGTGCATGAGATATGTGGAGCACAAAAAATAGTTTGATTACCAGCTCGACTTACCTTCAGTTATTCCAAAGCTTTTCTCTGATAAAATATTCTGGATTGTCCCTTGCGGGCTTTTTAATGCTCAACGAAACGAACCGCCCCTGAGAACAACCTTTCGCCAAATACGGGGTTTCCTTTTTGTTTATAAACGAATTTATAATGAAGTGATAGGAAACATGCCGGTTTTAAAAGCGATCCTGATCTACTGAGTCACAGTTCTGTTACTACGACATCTTATTGCTTTTAATTTGCGTTGGATAAGTTACGTCACTTAGTGTTCCAATTTACTGTAGCTTGGACTTAATTTAAGTTCTTCAGGGGTTTAGACCTTTGACCAGAACTGCCAAAAATAGAAAATAGTTTATGAACTACTGCACGAATATATTTATATATGTAGCAGCTGCCGATCTCAATATGCACTCCCTACTTAGGTTCACAGCAAAAGATCTTTGTACTGTTAGTGCAAAGACTCCATGTGTTAATTGTAGAGGAGGAAAGCGTACGTCCGGGCGGTTAATTAACTCATGAGACCACTCCAACAGTATGCTTGTTCCCCTCGTTTCTTGTTTTTAAGTATTTAAAAGTAATTGTGGCTTCTTAATAAGGAAAATAATAGTAATAATAAAGTAATAATAATAATAATAATAATAATAATAATAATAGAAGAAGAAGGAAAAAAGAAAACGGGTCCGCATATCATTTTTGATAGAAGAAGATAACATCTAACTTCGATAGCTGTCCTCGCTGGATCGAACATATTAATGACATTTTACATTGTATCCTTCGTCAGTAACGATATCTCATTTAAGCAATCAGTGATAACAAAAGTGAAATAAGCAATTAAAACAGGCAGTGATTCGGAACGAGGACTAAAGAGTACGTGCTTCAGTATGCTATATTTAGAGGCAGAAATAAAGTTGTTAAATATTCAGTTTGAATAAATTTGACGTTAGTAATAAAGAATCGGTGGCATAAGGATTGGTAGATTACTTTTCGCCTTTTTTAAACATCATACGAAAAAATATTTTAAAGACAGAAATTTGGTTATTATAAACTTGCTTCGTCTTCAAAGTTAACATTAAACTGGACTAATATTGTGCCTTTAAGGTCAACATAGGTCTATAAAATACTGTACGAAAACTTGCTTACACATAGATATAAAATTAATTCAGTAATAACTTCTGCTGAACACAGTGAAATAGGTACGTGACTTGCGAATTCGCTTATCGTAGTAAATATTTGTTTTTGCATTGTTCTACTGCAGAAACGCAGTTTCCACAGCGTTCTCGTACGTTACCTCAAGGGTTGTGCACGCTTTGAAACTGTGATTAATCAGCTTGGCTGGGCTCGGATAAATAAAATACTCTAACTAAAAAAGCACTACAAATACGGTAAGCTAGGAAAAATATATATATTAAAACGCTATGGTGACCTCATTATCAGCCATTAAAACTTGACTAGTACTCCTCTCCTGTCTAAACCCATAGGTCTAACTTAGGCCGCGGTTTAAGAATCTTTGGGCCTCCACATCAATTTAAGAAGATAAATGCTTTTCTAGTCTGTGCTTTGAAACTGTTCGCGACAAAACATGGTGTTTAGGTAGAAGCGATGGTCACTGGTATTTGGATAAATGCGTTGGTCAAACTGAAAACGACTTAGAACGCGGTTTTGTTAAACACTGGATAAACCCTGTTTAAATAATCGGTCCATTATATTTTTGGTAAGAAAAATATTTTACTTTTTGGTTCCTTGCAAGTCTGATCTTATTAGTAAAAACTAAAGGGTACTCAACACTTACATCATAGTAAGTGGTGAGATGCCTGGTAACACAACAGGCAGCCATGTACTTGTGGTTAGAGATCCTGGCCAAAATAAGCTTAAGTAAGTCAGCGGGAAAATGCAACACTAACCGAGCAATATCTTTTTGGCTTGCACGTGACAGTGGTGGGTTGATGTGGCCTTGCATTTTTCGCGCAGACACCCATCAACCAAGCTGACTACACATGCGTGAACAACAATAAACAATTCAGGGGCATTGCATATTCCTGAATTCATTTTTCAAAGATGTAATTGTACGAGATCTGGGGCTCGCAAAGAAGAGATCTTCGTTCTTTGTTCTCTGCAAATTAAAAGAGGTTTCACAATCAATGGTTCCCTTAGTCATTTCCAGAAGGTTAAACCAAGCTAACACTGTCAGAGAGGTCTTTGGCGTGGACGAACTGGGTGAGTAGTTAAACTAATGGTGGTTGCTTAGTTACGAAACAGGAGGTGGCCTCTGAAATCCTACGGCGATATATTTTGCAGAGCACATATTAGATCATATTAAGTAAGACACAGGGTAACTTGAAAAGACCCAATTAAACTATTTCCTAACCCGCAAGTGTCAGTAAAACATTAAATATTCAAACCTGGCTTCTTCATTACTTTTTTCCTTCTTATCAGTTCCTTCTTTCTCTGAGGCTTCCAAGCTTTTGCAACTTTAGATAGACTTTTCATTTAGCAATCAAATTGAGAAGGACTCCAGATTTTACAAATCAAAATTATACTTGCAGTTGAGGAACAATACCTTCCAGGAGCCCATTCTGGAAATTACAATTTTCATCATAGAATGAAGGTGATGTGCACAACGGAAATGCAAATTTAAACGAAGATATGATCGTCGCAGTGGTAATTGCTATTTACTAGAAGCAATTGCAGATTAACCCGAAAATTTACGGGACTTCAACAGGATTCGAGCCCATGGCCTGTACTTTAACACTGCAGTGCTCTAACAACTGAGCTCAGGAAGACCCATACACTGGAAGCAGGCCAATTTGTTGAGTTCATCTTAACCCGTGAAATTCATTCATTCATAGGTTCACAGCACAGTAATAAGTTTCATTACTGGTCCTGGTCTATTAAAACTGCAATTACAATGCTTCGCGATAAAAATGTTCACAAAAATATTTTCAACCTTAAGTGACGGCAGAAACATTAGAACATCGTCAACAGCTTCGGCATGAAAATAAACATTCTTATGAAAAAGAGAGTACTATGTAGTTATCTCCGTTTATAGACACTTAACTTCCAGGGATCCTTAGATCTAATAGACAAAATAGCTTTACATAAACTAAAGCAAGTAATGTCGTTGTCTTGATGCTAAAACAAGTGATACAACAAAGCCGTGAGCCCAAAAAAGAAAGAGATCCACGCCAAAGAAGTATTAAACGTCATTCTTCCGACTCTGAATCCGCACCGCCTTTCTTTTGCGTACGTAATGAATAAAGCGATGTTTCTGCGATCCCTGAAAGGATGGCCTTCATTCCAGTCAGAAGATGTGGTGCTGTTAATTTTTTCGTAGATTCCTTCAAAGCAAAAGTAAAAGCTAACGTTAGAATTGAAAACATGGTACAGCCGCTTCATGACAAGTTTTGAAGCTAATCGTCTTAACCACTATTCACTTTATCCTACTGTTAATTTATCACTTTCACGGTCAGAACGCATCCTAATCTGGTGTTCCTGTGGCACTAAGGCAGAACTTTTCGAGCTATCACGGGCGACTGCAAATTAGCCGCCCCCTATTAATTTTATCAGGGGCATCTCGCGGGCCAGGAAACTGGACTCCTTTCGACTCGATTTCGTTTCCGTAAGTGACGAACGCGGGATCTCTAATCAATGATTACCTCTAGTTAAAGTGCTATTCTTTCTTCTAGCACTCGGAGTAGAAGAGCTAGCTGATAGCCTCGATATCGATAGATATCGGCACTCGTAACACAACTAACTAACAGGGGCTAACAATCAAATGAACTGCCCTGACCCCTTGGCATTCACCCGGATGATGTCACACCATCAGAACGCATTACTCAAAATGAAAGCCAGGAGAAGAAAGCATAAAATTCCTACTCGCAAGCAAATATTATTGCTTTTATCCTACTGCTAATTTATCATAGTGCTATTCTTTATAGCATTATATTATCGCTGCAGGTTTAGTAAACATTAGCAACGGGGAATTTACATTATTAGACTGAAACGGAGCATTCGTCCCTGTCTTTCTTTACGCCTTTTAGTTGACTCTCTTGGGTGTATTTTGCTGCTGCAGAAACCATTGTTGGTTGGCTTGTGTGTTGTTGTGTGGGTATTGTCTTTTTAATCTTTTGTATAACGTCATTTGCTGATTGCACCCGTCCGCAACACCTAAAAAAGCTAAGAAACTACGGAAACTGCCCACCTACCCCTCCCCTAAGACAACATTTTGCCCTAAGCGAGAAGCAAGTGATGATATTGGTTTAGGCCAGGGGTAGGTGGGTTGCATGAAAAAATATATATATCTTCTATTTATCTTCACCTTACCAGCACAACCGCTTGTAATTCTAGCAGCACATACACAAGGAAGTAAAAACAAATAAACAAGACAAACAAGGATAACTCCATCATAAACCAAGACAACTGTGGGAATTCCAATCCCGTTCCGCAAGAGTTGTTCAACTTCAGTAGATACCCAAATGATAAATAAGAGAACGCCTGCAGCGTAAGTGAACCAGTGAATTACGAACCAAACACTGTAGGCTGATACGGTGCTAAAAACTACTGTGCATAGGTCTTCGTGAATTCTAATGACGTCATCAAGGGTCCCGTCTTGAAGCTCTCGGATGATTCTGAGGGCGTCCTCCACAAAAGTCCCTGCATAAAAATTAAAGAAAGAAAAGGATCTGTTGTTAGACCATAGATTCAGGGCTGGGTAATCGTCTTACATTGTACCAATATGCCAGTGTAACGTTAGAATATATAGAAATGAAAATTCTTTAATTCGATGTAGTTATTATTAAATGTTATTTCTGCTTGTTTTGATTTGTTTTATTTATTTATTTATTTATTTATTATGATTCGCAACAAAGAGCCACCACATATACATTAGACTACGAGTAGTCTGCCAAGCGGCGGGGAGAGGGAGTGTCGCTTCTTCTCGCGTGGGGTGATTTTCACGCTCGCTTGCGTTTCGCTCGCTCTACTATCTCTGAGGAAAAATGTGGGACTACTCGTAGTCTACATATACATGCATATTTTTATTTTATTTGCAAGGTAAATTAAGCCTACTATAAAGGGCTGCTTAGCTTTGTTTTTTCATCCACATGGTACGTTTTCTCTAATCCACACTGACACCTGTGTCACTCGGGTTGAAATTGTCCAGTGACGGGATATAGCCCCAGCTTGCCAAAGTGAAAGCCGGGAGTGAAAGAACCATACAATATTTTAAACGACTTGAAAACGCAAGTCATAAATTATAAACAGGCAACAGCTTTATATTCGACGTCTGAAACCAAGTCGTCCTACATTCGTTATAGAGTTAAACCACTTAAGCACAGCAGCAGCATGCTTTAAACCCAGCTATTAAGAGAATAATAAAAAAGAATGAATGAACCTACCAAGTGCCAATGAACTGACTGCGAAGATGTGACAAGTGACGACTGACACCCAGTGTAATAAGAACTTGGCCGCTTCTCCTGTTGCCACAAGCGTTTTACAATATGATTCTTCAATTACCAAGTTGTCTTGAAGTATTTTAAAATACAGGAGTGCTGAGCAAAGTAACAACAGGGTGGAAATGAGCAAAGCAAGAAATAACACGAACGTACCTCTCTTTTCAATGTCTTTACTTATTAACTGTGATGGCGTCACTAAGGCTGACACTTTGCGTTTGGCTGCCATAAAGCAACCAATAAAAACAAGATATGAGAAGATAGATCCCATTGCGAATATCGTCAAGTCGATGTTGCCAATGACATTGCCATGGCGTAGGGCCAGCTTCATTGCCTCTGAAGAGTAGTTAAAACTTCCACACTTTTGGAAAACGTCGATGTATGACAAGAAGAAGACCTTGTAGATGGCCAGAGCGCAGATTAGAAAACGGGGGATGTAGTTCCACGCCTGATGTCCCCATAATCCAAGAAAACAGAAGCTAAGGTTCAAGGCAGACAATGCAAATTTAATGCACTTGGTAGTTTGTTGAGCGTCTCGACCAAGTCGAAAGTTAAAGTACATCGGTGGCTGGGGAGAAAGACTCTCTTCCGTGTCAACGTCGATCAATTCACTCGCAACTTGATCTCTTCCAGCAATATTTTCTTCCTCCATCTTAGACTAATAAAGAGCTATCCGGATGAATTAATGTTGTTATAAAATCTGACCTATGTATTGTAAGGCGTTTGATAAACAAAATTTGGTTTCGGTTACAGCTTCATGTCACGCAACCTACTGCCATATGGTTGTTTACCCAAACTAGAAGGATTTCAAGAAATTCACTTAAAGGGCATGACCAGAGTTCTAGTTCGACTAGAGTACAACTTAGCTTTAAGAAGTTGCCATTTCCAAGTTCCAAAAATCCCGACTTTCAAAACGAAATCCCAGTTTTTAGGGGAGGAGGCGTCTGCACACAGGCTAACTAATTACCGAAGCCATTCTCGTCCCAGTAGGAGAGGATCCTGGGAACGAGATTGAAACTGAGGCTTGAGAGCCTGGATTTCGATCCTTTACTGAAAACCTGTTACTAAAGCAACTAAGAAATGGTATCTAAATGCCGATTTGCATCAGCTGACTACTTTTGTCATTATTTCTAAAGAAGTGTTCCTTTGTTAACCAACAGCTTCTCAACTGAAGTTTAGTATACCAGTATGCTAGTATTCACGATTATTTTTTAATAGTTTGACAGAATTCATGTTGCGAAATTGAATTTGTATCAAGCTCCGTTTCTCTCTGAGTCTCATTTTTGGCCCAACTATTTCTGTAAGTCCTTAAAATTTCCCTTAAATAAATTATTGTTTGTGTCCGGATTCAAACCACCTTTATGACTTTCTTAAGTGAAATTAAACCATTTTTAACATCTAACCAAGAAAACAAGGGTAATAGTCTCTTGCGTTTAATTTTTAGTGGAAGTTTAATAATACTTAGTCATACTAATAGATGAAGCTAGTTAATTACAGAAAACAAAAAGTGCATGACTGCAGAATATTTGGCGGAACCTAAATTCCCATACAAACAATTTTCTCCAAAATTCAACTTAACCCTCGGTCTTACACGCAAAGTCATACCCCTACCTTGATACAGGAGGAGGAGTGGGGGGGGGGTGGTGATGGAGCCCCTCCCTAGAGTTTTTGATATCTTGCAGTATTTCAAAAAGATTTTACCCTCAGTGGAAAGCCTTTGATCTTCTCTACCTGATGGGGTTCAGTAAAAACCCGCATATAAGAATCCAGAATTTTCAAGGTCAGGCTGAATTTGTTCTTATATTTAAGGGTAGTTTTCACAATTCTGGCTGATTAGGTTCTTAATACCTTCTTATTTTTCAGAGCTTGTCGTAGTGTAACCATTGGCAGAAATATTGTACTTCTAATACATAATGGCTTATGGAAAACATATTTCTAGTGAGAGTCCAAACAAATATATTTCAAAGAAAACATATTATACCTGGTTTTTTGAAAACCGGGCTACTAAAAAATGTCAGTCTCTCGCACTGATTGTTAATTTGATGGCCCTTGTTACTTGAAAAGTAAAATCTCACCTCAAAAAGAAATTATTGAATACATGAGCCTCCATTTGATAGAATCGTCTATCTTGAAGGTAACAAAAGTGACGTTTTCCTCATTAATCTGGAAAATAAGGCATTTTAAGAAGCAATTTTTAGTGTCGTTGTCACCGATTGCAAAGCCAATTCCCCAGTTCACCCCATTTTTAATTGACGCTGGTCTCCCAAAAACAATCTAAGCCAACACTGCTCAACAAAACCAAGTCCTAAAACCAGCAGTTCAACTGCTTGCTGACTAGGAACATTCTGAACAGAGTGGGTCATTGCTTACATGCAAACAGCACAAACAAACTGCATAAGAGTGCAAAAACACATCAAACTTTACAACAACCCCACTCCCCTGCAATTTAACCAGGCTACCCCAAATGCATACCAGACGATAGCCCCATGTCTGTGCAACAACATGGCACCCGGCCAGACACAACCCCTCCTTAATTTGAAGGAGACATTGAGCTTTGAAAGACAGGGGTAGCCCTGGTACAAAAACTCAGCAAATCTGCACTCTAGCACAAAGCATAGTCTTTACAACAACCCCACCCCCCTGGAATTTAACCAGGCTACCCCAAATGCATACCACATGATAGCCCTGTGTCTGTGCAACAACATAAGACTTAGTTTGACGGAAGCCCCCCTCAAAAAATATTAGCTGGGCCAACGGGGGCAACAGCCCGTCCCTACGGGACGGGCTGTTGCCCCCCTCGTGCAAATTTTCTGGAATTTGCACTGATTTCTGTCAATTCCAGGAAGTTATTTGGAGCCCATGGTTAAGAGGTGAGGGTGGTTAGTCCTGAAGAGCGAGATTGTTATTTTTACACTAAAAGTATCAGGGCTTTAAGCGAATTAAGTTTTGAAAGATTGCCTGCAATGTGCTAGACTTGACTTAAGATTTCAGGCAACCCGGTTTTCAAAACTCCAGGTAGATATACACAACAACTTTTGTCAAACGTTTCTCATGATTAAATAGAGAATTTTTGATCATTAAAATTCGAGTGATTTTTTGTATATAAAAACCTATTTTCCTTTGCCAGGCCTGTAGGTTCTTAAATCACTAGGTTCTTATATGCAGATGTCTACTGTATATTTTATGGGTGATCAAGCTTCTGGAGGCCAGTGACGTCACCAAACATGGTCGACATCTTGGAAATCAGGAAAAAACGGCGAGAATTGGCAAATTTTTTGTGCTTGGCATGTAAAACAACACATAAATAAGTACTTTGCTCCATTTTATCCACAAGCTTTACTTTTATCTTTTAAAGAAGTTGAAAAAAAACAACATGCAATTTCATTCAAAATGGTTTCGGACTACCTGCTACTGTGCGTCATATCTCAGAGCCATAGAAACTCAATCATCACCTAGTCTGCTACACAGTCAGGTTTTTAGTGTCGTCAGTTGGGACTGAGCATTGCGTGATGATACTAAAAACGGCTGTGTAGCAGACTAATCATCACTAAACTTGTTTCAAACTGCGTATGAGGGATAAACGAACAGCTACTGAAAACATCAGGTGCTAATGTTTAATCGTCTAGGAAAAATTCCAGCAAAAAACCTGAGAAGGGGTGATATCTAACCATTCCCCCCACCCCTCCCTCCTTCCCTTGTACGTCTGAGGGTTAACTTTAAAAAGTAAGATTTAAGCTGGGCCCAAAGCTAATAGTAATTAAGTTGCATACTTCTCACTCTCAAGTTGCACCTGATATAAAATTTACACTCATGATCTAATAGATGGGACATAAAACTGCTTAATGAAGGTGCATGCATAATGTTTGATGGAATGTTATTCCAATCTGCTATAAAAAAGAAAGCTAGTGCTGCAAAGCTGTCAGTCCCTGAAGTGGCAAAGTCAAAATTATACAAAACGTCTCCTTTACAAGAATTAATGCTGGAAGACAAATAGTATGGTGACAAAGCTGGTTTTCCCAAAGATGATTCTTTTGAATGATTACCCCGCCAGAACACCAGATTTAATCAAAAGAAACTTTGTAAAACACAAAGGAACGAGTAACACGTGACTAATAATTAGTACAGAGAAGAGGTACGTTTAATGGACCGACCGAGTTAGGCACCTTACTTTACACCTCTCTTCAGAATTCTTTCAGCCTGTCCGCTGCTGGTCCCGGCAGTTAGGAAAGAGTTAGTACAAAGAAACATGCAGTGACTGAATAATTTTTTTCAAATTCATTCGTTTTGAATATTCGCAAGTCAAGAAAAAAGGAGAACACAACACACAATATTCATATTAATATGTAGCCACGTTTATTTATCACCTTTGAATTAGACCGAATGACAACAATCTGCAGAGTTTCCCCCATTAACCATTAATTGCACATAGAGACCACCCTTCAACCAACAATTTATTGACTAATATAAACCGCTTCAACTTAGTGCGTCAGGAATTCTTGGAACTGTTACTGAACTGTATACATCATCGTTTACTCAATGCCTTCAAATTTTATATGCACCGAGGAAGGTATGTTTAGCTGACAGCCATAACCTGCTTTCGTAAACGGTTTTCAAGCCGATCTTATCGCCCTTTTTCAACCGGATAACTCCACCTGTGTAAACGCTGCCATAGTCAGCTTTGTTTCCGAGGCCTGTTTGCATCAAGGCAAATGGTTTTCCATTTACAGTTATTGCCACACGGTTGTGATATTCAGGGCCGTCTTGGTAGATTTCAAAAAACACTTGAGCATAGATGTAATAGGCACCACGTTGCTTTACTTCCAATAGGCCGTGTTCAGACTTGAAACCTTTAAATGCTTCATCGTTCTCAAGGTCAGACAGCCCTAGCAAAAAGGGTAACTAAAAGATTAAAATATGTTCAAACTGCATGTTAACCAGGTCTTAAAGGGGCAAAGTTGTGCTATTTCCCATCTCTCAGTTGAAAATCTAAAACGATCAGGTTTCGCATCAATCGAATTCTATAACCGCTAATGGTCCAGATTTGTCTTTTAAGACTATATTTACGCATTGGAGCTGTTTCCTATCGTCTGTTTTTTATGGATAACCAGCGCATAAACATGGCTTGAAACTTGAAATAACGTTTTAATGCTATTATGCAAAAATCACCCAAAAACGATCATAATAAGTGCTCCCTGATGAAATTCTTCACTCTAAAGGAGCATTTTGTGCATGGGTAAACGCACTGAACTTTACAGCAATACATCCCCGCGACGTAGCCCCTTTAAACGGTTAGCTGTTAATAACTGTTGTCAGGCATTTTAATACTAAAATCTTACAAGTATCTGCAGTGAAGATGCGAGCCTCCGACAACGTCCCTGAAAGTTGCGCCAAAGGTTTCTAAAAGGAAAAAATCTACGTCTTAAACTTCCATGGATTTAGACGTCCCTGCTTTGGAAAAAACTTTGTTAACGCTTAAAGGCTTAAACCAATTCAGTAACCTATGCGAAACTGTAGATCTAAGTGTTAAAAGTGATTTTCTGTAAAATCCGAACTTTGGCCTGACACCGGGTACCTCATCGATTTGGCTGATTTTTGGCATGTAGCCTTGGAATGGTGTCCTAAGTACTGAATGCATTTTCTAAGGTTTGAATTCTCTTTGCTTTCAAATTAAGTTAAGAAGTTAAGCCTGTAATTAGATCCTATCTATTGCTAGATTAATTTGCATATAGGGAAGTTACGAATACTTTCCAGGCTCTCATTAAAAGCCAACACATGTGGCTTAAATGGCTTGACACTGGAGGAGAAGATTGCGTTAGGGCGTTAGGGTTTTTGCCTTTGATTTCTCCAAGCCTTTTGACTCACTGAATCACTTCATAATTGCCCATCAATCCCTACATTGTTAATTGGATGATTAATTTTTCATTTAATAGACAACAAAGAGTAATTATAGCTGACGGTGACACGACCCCCCCTTAAGCCTATAAACAGAGGTGTGCCTTAGGGCACTATACATGGACCAAGCTCCCCAAGAAGTGCAAAATACTCAGTTGGGCCCTGGACAACCTTATGACTATAAACCTTACTAAAACTAAGGAGATGGTTGTTAAGGGTAACGTTGAGAGACCCCTCCCCACTATCACTTTTGATATCAATCAGGAAGAATTTCTTAATCTTCTAGGTGTTTGCCTTCATAGTAATCCTACAAATCGGGACAAGCAAATTGATGCCCTTCTTAGCAAAGCAGGAAGGCGTATACACATATTACGAGTGTGCAAGAAACCTGGCTATAGTCTAGACTTTCTACAGCACCTCTTCCATAGTTTGATTATACCTATTTTTACTTATAGCATTTTAGTATGGAGTGTTGCTAGATATGATAAGTATCTTTCCAAAATTGACAAGTTCAGAAAAGAGCAGTTCGTTTTGGTTTCCTCCTTTTACCGCGGCAGTGTTAGCTCAGTCGGTAGAGCGTGTTGACTGCAGAGCGGGAGGTCGCGGGTTCGATTCGTGGGGCCGGAACAATACTCAGGGTCTTAAAATAACCGAGAAATGAAGGTACTCCCTTTGCACTTAAAATAACCGAGAAATGAAGGTACTCCCTTTGCACTGCAACAGGCTAGACCTTCGCGTGGCTCGGATGACCACGTAAAATGGCGGTCCCGTCTCCAGTTGGAGACGTAAAATATAGTGTCCCCAATTGGTACTTTCGTGCTAATATATTGACACTCAAATAAAATGCTTTTTTTTTAGAGTCCTAAGATAATAAGTTATGGAAGAATATAACTACGTCTCTTGAAGGCCCTTTGGTAGATCTCCTCCCACCCAGTAAAACAAGTTTGCTAAGGAATCGTGGTCATTCCTATATACTTTCTCAGATTAGGACCGAACGTTTTAAACGCTGTTTTATTAATAGATGCCTCTTCAATTCTATTTAATTGCCTATTATAATCCAGAACGTTTGTTTTTTGGAACCTAATAAAGAGCTTTTTATTTATTTATCTATTTAATATTTATTTATTGGCAAGCTGAAAGAGGTTTACAATAATAATTCTAGCCTTATGATTGAAATAACTTAATCGTGACTCGTACAGCTGCAAAGAACTATACCCTTCCCCGTTGCATTTACCTACTTTTATCAGAAAATGGTTAAGCCTGAGCTACGAACGGCTATAGCTTCTCCCAGCATTTTTTCGGTACTTAAAAGGTACACAAAATTGGTAGAAATTGGAAGGTCAATAATTATATCACCCATGCCACCTCGATTTAGAGTATTAGCCATTTTAACTAAACGTAGTTTGTTTATTGATAACTTAGATTGTTGAAAAAAATTATTGGGCAAACGTAACGGAGCAGAACTATAATAGCATAAATGCTCAACGGTTCATCCACTTGGCCGCTAACAATTCCAAACAAATATTCGGCGAATATTTGAAAAGAAAATCCTTAACTCTCGGACTTACACGCAAAGTCATACCCCGACCGTGGTACAAGGTGGGTGGGTGGATGGAACCCTCCCCGGAGTTTTTGATTTGTTGCAGTATTTCGAAACGATTTTACCTTTAGTGAAAAGCCTTTAATCTTCTTAACAAAATGAGGTATATTTTATAGGTGGTTGAGCTGCTGGAGGCCTGTGACGTCACCAACAATGGTCACCATCTTGGCCACCATCTTGGATTTTAACAAGAACTAAAAATCAGGTTAAAACCGCGAGAAATGGAAATTTTTTGCCCTTTACATGAAAAATAACACATAAGTGAATTATAAATAAATTACTTTTATTGTTGAAAAAAGTTGAAAAAACATGTACTTTCACTCAAACATGGCTTGACCACCTGCTACTTATGACGTCATATCTCGTAACCATATAACTAACCATAACAACTGACCATCACTCAACTTTTCTCAAAATGTGCGCGAGTGGTGAACGAACAGCTACTGAAAACGTGAGGTGCTGACGTTTTATCCTCTAGGAAAGCCATCACGCCCGCAGGCGTATAATGCACAAAGCTACTGAAAACATGTGGTTTCTTTGAAGAGTAAGAAAGCCATTGTTTTGAAGCCCTTTATTAGTATTATTAGGGTAATATCTCGCCAGTCCAAAAAGGAGAGATAGCGGATTCAATTTTATACCTAACACAGGATGTTTTCTTCGAAGTACTTGACTATTGTCGCTAAAATTCGAACCGTGGTGGTCACTCGTGAAGATGGCGATCGTCCGAAATGAAGACGGTGGTTGTGCAAGGATTCTAATAAGCCCTTCATTTCCTAATCTGCTGTACACTGTTTGCAGATCTTCAAATGTCAGCCCTCTTCTTTCAACCTTGTTCTTCTTTAGGGATAATTTCTACGGCGACGTTTTTCTTTAAAAGTCTGCTGTAAAAGATGGCACCGGTCTATAAATCGTACATCATGTCCTAAGCTACACGTACAAGACGGTAGGTCTCGATGGACAACTATTGCTTTTGTCAAGGGTCAATCTGCGAGTAAAAAGTATTTCTCGTCGTGCAAAAACATTTTCTAGTGCGTCTTGCATGTGTGCTGAAGGACGTTTGAAACAAGAAAAAATACAAGGATGTTGGTTTGTCGATGGAAAGGTTCCTTTGATTAGGATACAAGTTAAGTGGGAAACCTTTTTTCTGATAAGTATTTTCACGAGAGGATAAAGGGGACAGAGAAGGCATCCCCCATACACACCCTATTCCATAGGTAATTCGTCTCGAGTTATTTTTAGAATCGGGATAAAGTTACCTCGCGCGCTGCGTGGATGTTTCGGGGGGGTTTCGCATGACTAAATGCCGTGCAAAACGTGTCGGGCGAAAGGCAATGAAAGCGTAAAGAGATCGAGAGCATTCCTGAATTTTGAAGCGAAATGAGTCGCCGCTCACCTGTGAAAAGGGAATCGCTGGACTCTTTGACAACCCGTGAAATCAGTTTAACTCAAAGACGTCGTAACCTCAGTGCTTTAATAAAATGAGAAATTTCGCCGGTCTATTGAAACCGGTCGTTTGTACAATAAAGCAAGTAGGACGCCAAGTGTTATTTTTGTTGAGTAATAAAGGACTAATAAAAGAATAAATATCAAACCAGAAATTTCTCTCTTCAAACTGTAAATAATAAATGAGGGGTGAGAGAATGTTCAGCGCTGTACTGTTAGCTCCACACAAGAGAGAAAGGGCGATTCTTTTTTAAATTCCGTTTCGCTGACAAAGCTTTAGCAAAAATCTTCGTCGACAAAACGAATAGAAATATCGCTCTCCGCGTCCTCCATTTTGTTCTGCGTCAATTCGTGAAAGACGCGTGGCTCTGAGCGTGGGTCATCCACGCGGAACACATTCGCGTTATGTGATTGGCTGTTGTCTAATCCCCCTTGAGATTTGTGGTGTTAAAAATAACTCGAGACGAATTACCTATGGAATAGGGTGTGTATGGGGGATGCCTTCTCCGTCCTTTTTATCCTCTCTTGGTATTTTAAACAATGTGATATAGAGTCGGCAAAACAAAAAAAAGAGTTTACACTCCCTGTAATCTTGTCTTAAAGCCACTTATAGAATTACTTAAATCAAATCAAATGTAAGAGAAATTAAGTGACAGAGGAGCTCCGCCAGCGAAGACAATCTTCAGTGTTTGTTCGGGAATTGGCTCAATCTTTCATATCTTTCCACTGACCGTGAACCAAAGGCAAGAAACAGCAACATTGCTTCATTCTGAGTTAGTGTATTTACTTCTTTATTTTCTTAGTAAAGTTTCCACTCACCATTTACTTCGACTATTTAACATTTGTCTACTTTTGAAGCGAAAGAATTGATGTCTTTGGAAAATTTCTGCTTTGTTTTTACATACAATTTACTAGCTATTTACTCTTATGGAGATCGATAGTGACTTGTAACCGGTGTAACATTGTCTCCTCTCATAAATGTTTGACCTACACTAGTCAAACTTTTTGAACAATGAGCTTCAACAGAAAGTTAATAAAGTTTAATTTTTTGGGTGGGAATATTTCGAAACTAAGAGGCCATTTTTTCTTTTATTTTTGCGTGGACGTCGCGCGGATTTTAAAGCTGGCACCATACTAATGCTAAGGCTGCGCACCGCCAATTTACTCTGGGGAGCCACCATAAATGAACAAACTTAATCAAGTTCAGTCTTCTTGCTTCAGTCTTCTTACCCGCGCCGACTTTGAACAGAACGTTGTTTTTTTCTTTTCTCTCTGGACTTGCATGTATTCTGCCTTTCACCCGGTATTTTCTCGTAACTTGTAATTTTATAGCAATCTGGACTTCAAACGCTTTTTTTTTTAAGGGACATCACCCATTTTGTTAAAAATCCCGTCTGAATTTGGGTATCGAATCTTTCATCAGGTCTGAGAAAGAGTAGGGAAAAACACAGATTTTGGTCTGAAATAGGGTAAGGGTTTCAGGAAGCGTAGGGCACACCCCACCCAATTTTTCTGGAAGTATCATCTTAGACCTTTCTTATCGATCGTCTGCATGCAAGTTCTGCCTTAGGGAGGCTTTCTTGGGTAAATCTCAAGATAATAAGAAAGTTGCATCGTTTAATATTCATTTATAAATGTAGGAACAACCTTTTCTCACTTAGGATTGATCTAAGATATCATTAAGATTTTCATGAGTATAATTCCAGATGTAAGTTCAACATACGTTACACTAATGCTAAGCGCAAATGGAGCCATTGGACATCAATTAATTTTGCTACATGTAGTAATGACTGGAATGATTTGAATCATGATACACGCAGAAGCTGGGCCGGGATATTCTTGCTTTTAAGAAGCTTATAAAGGGCACGGGGGCTACCTTATAGTAATTTATATTTATAAATATTTGTATTTAGTAGTTTTAGCATCACTCTATTAAAATAATCTCAGATTTGTATGTTTAGGTGCTGTTGGATTGAGGGAGGATATTTAGTTTTTAGTAGTAATTTTTATATTTATTTAACTAGTTTTTCTTGTTGCTGTTTTGCTTACATTTATATTCATTTATTTATTTCGTTTTTTCAGGACCCTATTGTAAAACACCTAAGTAAAGTAGGCTGAAAAAAAATAAATTATTATTTTTGTATGTATATTTATTGTTAAAAAGCCCGGAAACAGAGAATTTTATTACTTGCTGATGGGATCTTTTTTACATCGTTTCCGGTCAGTAATTGGACTGGCTAAACTCATGACTTACCTTGGGACGAGGCTTAGCATCCGCCGTTACAGCAAGGATCGCCAGCATCAACAAAGCTAATACAACTTTTCGCATTATGCGTCCAACAAGATATGACAAACTGCAAAATATACGAAAAAAGGCAGGATAACGAGTTTAAAAACAGTTTCATGGGTTTTCGTAACATAAATGTCATCTTAATAAAAAACATTTTTTCCTTTAGGTAAGTGGATGTCTAAGTCAAAACGTCGTGATGGGGCTTACCTTAATCTCTAAGAGGAGAAGAAAGACCTTTGATTTTTAACTTCGTTGCTGTATTGATAAATAGGCAGAGTGCATTTTTTTCATATCCACAGTAACTAGAACGCTCGTCAAAACATTTGTACTATCCAAAGGGTGTAAACGTTATTAACTTGGAGAAACCTTGCCGCGGATAGAAGGGTTACTCAACTACTTGAGCCAACCATGCAGGGCAAGCCAGCGTTTTCTATGATTCACCCTTTCCTTCCTGGCGAACCGTTTACGCGAAATATGGCTTGGCTTTTTAAAAGTGACCCATTTAATCATTTCTCACCCTCCTAGCTTCTCCTGTGTGTGTGCGTGATGTTTTTATAAATGTGGGGACGAATTAGATTCAGGACCTATTCAAAACCTCTGGGAGGAGACGAAAGGTATTTGATTTTTAACTGCGTTGCTGTATTGAATGCGATGAATAGCGTGCAGTTTTCCTATCCACAGTAACTAAAACGCTCGTTAAAACATTTGGACAATCGAAATGGTGTAAATGGCTTTTTTTTTAATATAAATGATAATAAGTGTTTTGAACTACCATAATGATTATATATTAACGTAAATCAATGTTTACATAATAAATCCGGCAGTGATGGGGTTCCAAATGCAAATTTATTCAATTTTACGTGTCTCCTGATCGATTTTGGCTAAGTGTGTGTTCATCCGCGAACGAGCTCCAGCAAAACTCAAATGCTTTCTCTGGAGAAGAATATACTCCTATAATTTTGACCGTTTTCCTATAGATTTATCACGTTGGTACATTTTCACGTCACTATGGAAATTTTTGACGCTTATTCGTAGACGTTGCCCCTCGCGAAACATCCCCAGCGGCGACGGAGAGAGGAGAAACGGCTGTTCTCGCAGGCTACTTATCTATTCCTCAGACTTAGTTTGGTTTGATTACCATGGTCGCTGGCCACATTTAATCAAAAATGCAGGTTCATGGCACAAGTTTGTCCAAAAACCCTCATCAATGTAAACCAAAATGTTAGGACTCTAACGCAGAAAACTAATACATAGAGTTAGCCAGAGCTAAAAGCAAAGTTCCCGTCACATATTTTTTTTCTTTTTCAAACGGCGAGCTTGGAACTATTGCAAAGAAATTCACAGATCTACACTTGACCTTAAGGGAGGACCATATGACGTTTGAGGGAACAATTGCCGCTGAAAACAATTGAAAAGTAAGCTTGCGATCAGTTAAAAGCTAATAACTGGTCAGCGGAAAACCTTACAAAAACACGTGACCTTACCTAAGATGAAAGCTGAGCCTGTGATACGGTCGTATTACACTGGTCAGCTGTCAACTGACCATAACATTGACCTCCATCATCAAGTGAAACGTAGTTTGCAGGCTAAAAAAATGCCATTGTACATTCAATTTGATTACCCTGACGGGCGGGTGGACGAACTACAGTCACGTGACTACCAAAATGTCTTGGATGCATAGATAACCAAATTTTCGTACTCCGCCAAAAAAAAAAACAGAAACTATGTAACCCTGCAAATACGCATGTCACATGATCTCCTTTAAGTAGTTTAACTAGATGATAAGTTTGGAAAAGGTAAATTTTAACTTCTCTTCTCAGAGAATCGCATCAGGCTAGACAGACTATTCTGAATAATTGTTGCTCCTGCAAATAGCTAAATACAGCAATTATTCATCAATAGGAGGCCTAAAACGCACGTGGTTCCAGTTGTCCGTGATTCTAATTGGTTAAGTTTGAATTCGCGACATATATTTTCGGGAAACCAAAATTGGAGCATTCTCTGGAATTGGAACGTGTTCCTTTGAATCGTATATATAGCTATTTCGAGAAAGGTTGTCGGGAAAAGTGCACGCGACAATCCTGAAAGGCATTGTGGGTGGTTTTGAGTTCTCCTTTTTTCAAAGAAATTTGAAAGAATTGGCACGAAAGGGCATGGAAATGTGTTTGCAAGAGCTAAAAGAAAGCAACAAAAGTAGGTTCGACAGCTACAGTCGTCAGGAACAGTGTATTGATCAGATCCCATATTACCTTTCGGAATTGTAGCGTACACATTTTTTTCGACAACCTTTCTCGAAATAGCTGTATATATCAACCCACAGCAAAGCATTTCAAACACGTGACGCTTGAAACCTTTGACCAAGTTGTTAATAAATCCATGTAAAAAAAAAGTTAAAAGTTTAAGTTGAATCAAAACTGGTGTATAAACTTGTGGTAAATTAAAAAAATGCCACTAAGCAAAATGAATTTTGAATGTTTCTATTTCTTCTTCTTTTTTTTTTGGAACATGGCTGTCTATTACACTTCAGTGAAAAATTCTGTCTCTGTAAAAAATAATCAATCCCGGATTTATTAGTTGAATGAGGACATTTTCGCTCTATCGATCGGAGGTTTTATTATTCTAAATTGGTTAATTATAACTAATAACAATAATAATAATAGTGATAATTAAATAATGATAAATAACGGGATCGATTAAGTAGAATATATAAAAAGGTATGTAGCCAAATTCAATATAGAGCAACAACAATATGAACAACTAAGAAAATACACAAGAAATATAATTATAGATATAAACACATACAGTAGTTGGACTCCCAAAATAACTACAAAGCTGAACTAGTTGGGTGACCATAGAAGTGAAAATAACACTAAAAATCAGTTTTTTTTTTGTTATATTTCTGAATCACCTTCAAAAATGAATTAATAATTTATAAAGAAAAAACAAAACAAAGTCATGTTTGTACCTGATTAAGACACGCCTTAACTTTGCGTCCAATCCTCAAATCTAAATGTTATTGCAAGAATGAGTTTATCTACATCAGAGATTTTGAAACCGTTAAAGAAAACTCGCCGTCGGGTAGTTTTAGATGTAAAAGCTCTCGGCTTCGCCGTAATAATACACTTCTGCTCGTTTTTTTAACAGTACAAACCTCTTACAAATCAAAGAGCACTTCATTAAAAGTATCATTCAATGTACAGGGACAGATAAAAACTGATGCACTCAAGAATGATAATACGAATAAAACTGAGATACACTATTTCTTCTCAAGAGTTTGAATTGCTCCAATTGCCCATGGGACGCCGGGCAGAGATCCGCTGGTCTAAGGACGCTAGGACCGGATGAAGAACAAAGGGAATAGAAAACTTGTCTGCAAAAATATCTAAGTAAACATGATTTGTTGGTAGTGTGTATCAGTGATAATGGTCAAGAGTATCACTTTCTCGGTGCCCTTTAGGTTTAGTTTCACATTTAATTAATGTAACCGTTTATTAACTTTTATTACAAGTTTTTGATGTCAACTTCGCCAATGATTTTATGAATTAAAGCTGTAGCCAACCACAGCTGATAGGCTTTTGTCCCAAACTTAAAAACAAAAAACGTTTCATTTCGGAGTCTAAATTTAGTTCTTGTGTTTTAGTGTTTTTGAGATACCACTGCCGGCTTGTCTGCCATTATCTGTAATCAGGAGCGGGTGTTATCTGATACAAAAAACTTTTACAATTTTGGGGGGATCACTTCATTTTTTAAGAGAACAGAAGAGGAGGGGGAGGGTCATTCGTAATTAGAAACCCAGAATAGGGATCATGGAAAATTTTGCAAGGGTTCAGAGGGGAGACCACTCAAATTTGCTTGGACAATGCTCAAATGCTTGGAAAACTGTAGTGGTCTCGTCTCAAAATATTGGACTTGGTCTGCAACTCAACATGCTTTTTAATCCGACTTACGCACTACATACATATTTCGTCCTCGTGTTCTACTACATCCCATAGTAATTAGTACGGTATTACACCCCATAATAATCTCGCAACAGGTAGAACGACTTCCGGTACACTACAGAAAACGAAAGTAGCAGTTAGCCTGCTGATATATGAATCAGTATTGTTCAAAAGAAAACATACTTTATTCTGGTTATTGTGATTTGTAGATAACTTATACTAAATCGTATTCAGCATCTTCATCTGTCTCATCTTGAGTCCCATCATCCAATTCAATCCCTTCATTAGCATCTAGAGCCTTATCATCCGATTCTTTGTGGCAAGTCGACTTTGAATTTTGTGCCCTAAAAAAGGCCGCCACTAGCCTGAATTTCAGATCATTACTTCGAGTCCTTTTTACTCTCTCAGTTGCTGAGAGGAGAAAACGACTCGAAGTAATCGTCTGAAATTCAGGCTAGACCGCAACTTGCTCTAGATTTTTTGCTAGAGTCGTGCTAAAAACACCTTTTTCTAACAGCCACAGCAAAGGGTCTAGATGTCAACGCCTTTTTAGCTTCTTAGCGAAGTCAGCATTGATGCTGTCTACAAGTGTGACCTTATTATTCTCTTCGATTGAACAGAAAATTTATGCCTCGAAAAGTCCAGGCAGCGGTAATGATCATGAGTTGTTGAGCAGTGAAGAGGATAGCAAGGAATAAGATACCGTGTCAGGACGAAGAGAATAGCGTAGATGATCTCGTCATTGCTAATCTCGACGAACAGTCAATTGTTCAAACGCCATTTTTAACTTTTGTACCAGATGAGAAAATAGCTGAAGTTACAGTACAAGCACGCACTAAATGAAAAGTAAAACAAAAAAAAACGCCACAAGAAGAGAAAAAACGCGCAAAAAAAAAAAAAACGAAAAAAAGAATTACACTAAAAATCAAAAAGTAAAAGGGAACAGGAAAAGTGGCCGATCTTAGCCCTTCCAGAGGGCAAAATACCCGGCTAAAAATGCCCTAAATGAGACTTGGTGTCCTGCTAGGTACAGTTAGAATACTTACAACTAGTGCTCTTAGTTAAACAATTAGTGCTCTTAAGTCAACATGGTGCATTTGCATTTTGATTTTACTTTCAATGAAAAGCCTGTGTAATGTTCTATTGTTTCCGTGAGCCAATTGCAGAACGGACGGAAACTCGTCTAGTATAAAGAGGTATATATAGAAGGGTCACGAACAGGTTTAATCGACTCAACATTTCACTATGTTTCCCAGGGTAGTTATTTAACAGTTTCTTTTAATTATCTGAAGTATCCATGATGGATTAATGGAAACAGGGCAGCTATAACGCCAACGACAAAAGACACCCACACTAGAGCTGCGTCAAACGTGATTCTGCCAGCCTTAAATCCACATCGCCTCTTTTCAGCGTAGGAGACGAACAAAGAAATGTTGTTGCGATCTTTAAACGGATGGCCTTCATTCCAGTACCCTGGTCCCAGAGGTTTTTCTTGATTTTTCTTTGCGAAAGAGATGAAAAGCAAGCCGCGAAGCGGCGACAACGAGTTGCGAAAGCGACGAGGAGAGAGAGAAAAACCTCTGGTTACCTTGGCCTCGAATCTCACTTTCATGCAGACGACAGCTGTCAAACGCGTCAAATTGCTAATAAAAAGGGTGACCAATGGCCATTCAGGAAACACGTGCTTATCAGCTGCTATTTTTTTAAGCGGGGGTAGACCTGGGGGAAATTATGTTATGAACAAACCATCTCCACTTGGGTGGTAAAGAGTGATTCGTTAATCGGGGTAAAGCTAAAGCATGTGTCAACAATGGGCGACAAGAGTCCAGGAACAAGAACACTACTTAAAGAAACCAACACTGTTCCAAACGACTGCTACAGGATTTGCAGAATTTATGTAAAAATAAGTGGCCGAACTAAAATAAACGTTTTTGGGTATAATAACAAGGATTTTTCACAAACATTGTCATCTGTTTCGCAGTTCGCGGATATGCGAGTCCACAACAGACTTGAGAGGACAGACAAGCAAAATTATTGCATGGCGAGGGTATGAGTAGCCTCTTAAGGAAAGGTACTTGCAATATACTTTCCATGTCCGGTTGATTAAATGGTGAACACATCTTTTCGACTCAAGGCGGCGAACAACGCTTTCATTTGTTGCTCAGTGAGACTCAGGAAAGCGCTCATCAAGTACCGAGGTCAAAAATTCTTCGAATATTCTTTCAGAAACAACATCCATGTCAAAATCTCGAAATATGGAGTGCCTTTACGTGCCTGGGTCCCGTGCAAATGTTATTGCGAGTGCAGTATACAAACAATTTTCTTCCCTGGTAGAGAGAGGCAAAATTTACCTTCAGAAATGAGGTGTAAAAATCTTCAGCGTCCCCTCGGTAGTTACAATTAAACGAGCCAATCAAATTGGTTTGCGTGTTTGAAAAAATATCAACCAATCAACGCCCGAGGGTCAGATCCTGACCCTGTCGTCTGCATGGAAGTGAGATTCGAGGCCAAGGTAACCAGAGGTTTTTCTCTCTCTCCTCGTCGCTTTCGCAACTCCTTGTCGCCGCTTCGCGGCTTGCTCTTGATCTCTTTCGCAAAGAAAAATCAAGAAAAACCTCTGGGACCAGGGTATCATTCCAGTCGTCAGAGGTGGAGCAATTGACTTTCTCGTAGATTTCTTTATACAAAGATGACAAAAAGAGCAAATGTTACACGTCAAGAAAACAGTAACGTGAACTGACACAAATCTTAAGATACACAAGTATTTATTGGATGATTGTCTTTGTGTCTGATCCTGAGTTTCCCAAAACGACTTTGGATGTGAATTACACTGTTTTTTAAATTTTTGCTATGCCAAAATACCCGAAATTGAACTTTTACTTGTCTATATCATCGCACTCTTGTTACCTTAGCTTCTACTTGGAAACTCAGCGAAGAAACCAGCGAAGTTTTTGTTGGAATATTACATAGATAAAAAGCACACCGAAGAGTTTACTATAAAGGCGCAGAAATTTTCAAGTGAAACATAAAAGGACAACCGATTATAGAACTTCTGCAAATTTAGAATATAAATTAGCATAGATATGGGTCATTTCCGAGTTTCAAAATCTCTGACTTTCAGAACGAGGCTAAGAACAAAACCCTTCTTATAAAAATTGATGACGCCGAGTATTTGAGTGAAGCTACAACTCAGTCAAATCTGAAGATCGCACTATCCGTGAAAAATTCAACATCCTGCAAACACAGAGCCTGCTGCCTGCGTAAAATGGTAGAGCATTGGGAGGAAGGGAAAAGGGGAGATTTTCTCCCTCCCCCCATCTCCCTCCCTTTTTTGCGCCTGCCACGCAGGCTTAGCCTGCAACTGCAGGCTCACTTGTCCGAAGAAGCCGCCATCCAGCTAGGAAAAGTCACTTTTCCTCGCTGGATGGCGACTCTACCGCCAAAATTTCGGTCCCCAGTTCGCAAAAGTGAACCTGCTCGCAGGTACGCGAGTTATGCACATATGGCAGACCCAGCTTCCAATCATGGCAGGAAATCATCACATTCACGGACAAAGAAACTACACGCATGTAGTTATTCAGATCCAGGCATTTCGAAGAAAACCAAAGAAACTAAATTTTTATAGTAGCTGCAATAAAAAGCTTTGCTGCAAGAAAAGTCCATGAAAGTAAGTGCTTTACAACTACACCCGAGATCGAATCCTATCAGAAACACCCACAACAAGAAATAATAGCGCTGCCGACAGATTCTACAAATAGTTGACGTCACATGAGACCCCCTCGCATGACTCAGTCTTCGCTTCTCACTCAAATGATTTGTATGCGCTTTTGCCGAGTGTTGAGTCAAAACAATGTTTTGTTCGCGTATTTTTATCGGGAAATGGTTAACAGCAAACGTTGCAGCTCGGAAGAATGTAAGAGGGACTCAAGGATCCCTGAAAAAGTTGTCTGAGTCGCTAAATAAATGCGAGAAACCCACAAAGAAAGCGAAGTGACTGGGCCCGGGGGGGGGGGGGTACTCCCTTATAAGGGCTTAATGGGGACGTGCGGCCAGCCAGGGTATGTTTTTCGGGATTTTTGTCTTAAACAGGGTATCGATTTTATCAATTTTTATCTTAAACGGGGTATCTTTTCTTAGACAGGAGCCCATAACCCTGTTCTTAGACGATAAACAGCCTGCGCTTATGTTCTACGAATGTCTTAAACTGGGTATTAAAAATCGGAATTCTGTCTTAAACAGGGTGGAAAAATCAGCGATTTTTGTCTTAAACAGGGTCAGGGTACGAGGGGCCGAGCCGCACCTCCCCACCCAAGGATATATCGAGTACCCCCCCTAGGGACTGGGCAGCTGGGAAATGTTTTTAAAGATGCAGATTCAGGGCAATGGTTGAGGCAAGTGGCATTATAAAATGAGCTAAAATTCGTAAGGGCCTAACGACGCTTTTTTTTTTCATGTGGCAGGCGTCCCTTTTCTTCTCCCCCAACTCTTACTTTTCGGTCCATCCATATGTAGAAGGCCTAAATGTAATAAACAACCCTAAACGTAATAAAGTCCTAAATGTAATAACATTTTGTCCTAAATGTAATAACATTTTGTCCTAATTAAATGTAATAAACTCTTAAGTTGCAAATTACAGTAATTACTCAAATAAGAGCCGTATTTGGGGGATTTAATAAGCGCCGCGGCACGTATTCGCGTAAATACGGTACTAAGATGTATTTTTGGAGAAAAAATTAATAAGCTTCTGTACATTTCCTTATGCACTGTGTAACTTGACATTTACAAATAAATTGCTTGTGAAGGGACAAAACAAAAGCCTTAAAAAGTTTTTCATACTTCATTTCTGTTAAAGATCGAAATTTACTGCAAAAACTGTGGACGAAGATCCTGTTGCTTGTCAACGATGGATCTCTATAAAAGAGATCTAATCAGCTAAAATATTAAGAACAAAAAACGAGAAGTCTAAGGGCCTGTTTACATGGAGGTATGGGACCCCAGGTAGGTGAGGTATTCCGCTTTGGCGGGTAACCAAAGGCCAGATAATCTCTCATTTTAATTTGATCACGTTAACGTGATAAGTGGGGTAACCCGCTGCATGTTACCTCACCTATCTGGGGTCCCCCACCTCCATGTAAACTGGCCCTTAAGACTACTGCACAGCTGATAAAAACTTTTATAAATAACTAAGATAGTACGCGAGCGCTCTGCTTGGCCGAGAGATGTGTTTGCATGAGAGTATGTAAACATCTGTGGAGTCAAGATGTCTTGCTCTTCGCGCGCTAATCACACAAGCACGAATTTTAAAATGTTTTTGAGTTGAAAACTCGACAATTTACTTTATTTACCCATTCCCTCGTCGGATGAAACTTGGAAAATCTTTACAAACGTGCTGTGCCAATTTTTTTGCGCTTAAGCTGACGTTTTAAACGAGAAAAAACCTTTTTTTGGAAAGAATCTTTATTGCAAAACGAGTGTTTATATCAGGCTATGCAAACACAGGAAAAAAGTTTTCCAGTTGCTTAAATATTGCTTTTTTAGAAAAATACTGTTACTTTGTCGTTTACAAGCAATTTATTTGTAAGCGTTAAGTTTCACAGTCCATAAGGAAATGTACCGAATTTAATAAGCGCCGCGGCGCTTATTAACTATTTTCTCCAAAATGCGGCGTTTATTTGAGAGTGGTGCTTCATACCATAATAATACCGCTTACTACCGTATTTACACGAATAAGCCCCGCGGCGCTAATTAACTCCCCCTCTCCCCCAAATGCAGCACTTATTTGAGGACGGCACTTATTCGAGTAATTAACTGTAATTGGCAACTTAAGAGTTTATTACATTTAGGGCAAATTGTTATTACATTTAGGAAAAAATGTTATTACATTTAGGGTCCTTTATTACATTTAGGTCTTCTACAACCTCGAACTTTAACCCGACTAGAACTCAAAGTCGAATCCAAACTCGATATTCCGGGATTCCCAACAGAGGCTTGGGGCAACTCGGAAATGGCCTATTATATGTATCTTACCAGCACAGTTGCCTGATATCCCTGAAGCGATGACACAAGGGAATATAAACAGATAAAGGTAAAAAGGCAAGAGAAGAGCAAACGAGGCCACACTCATGGGGATAGCTTTATACTCTTCAGACTCGAGAAGAAGCTCTATCTCAACAGAAAACTCTATCACCAACAAAATACAGCCTGCTCCATGACTGATCCAGTGCAGCAAAAACCAAACACTGAAGGCTGACGCGGTTCTGGAAACTACTGTGCAGAGGTCTTCATGAATTCTAATGACGTCATCAAGGGTTCTATTTTGGACACCTCGTATGATCCTGAGAGTATCTTGTGCGAATGTACCTGAAGGTCAATCAATCAAAACTGACAAGGTTAACGGCCAGAAGACGTCCGCATGTCAGCTAATTGTCTATAGCGGTCAGTTAGTTAGTCAGCCACCATGTACTGGATGAAGCCGCATAACTCGAACTCCGATAGCTCAAATCAGTTTTTTTATTTCTCTTGAAGGTTTGAGTTGTGGGGAGTTAATTAGCAATTATTGGGTGTGTATGTTCTGAAGAATTTTGCAGACGGAGGAGTTTGCTATTCGCCGAGGCTCTTGCCGAGCCTGATAGCATATAAAGTACCTGCCTTAATTTGTCTGTTATTCGGCAAATTCAGGATATAACTTGATATTAGCCGGGCTAGCTGGGTTTGCCGAAATAAAGGCATGTCTCTCAAAGGGATATACTTTGGATCAATCCGGTTTCCATTATCACCAAGAAATCAGACAAGAATTGGGAATAAACAATCTACTGTTTTTCAAAAAGATTGAATAGGTTAACTTACCGAGTACCATGCAAACAGAGGCAAAGATGTGACAAATGTTTAGGGAGATAAAATGTAAGAAGAACTGTGTAGAGTCTTCGGAAGCAATAGCCTCGCAAAGCCGTGGAACGTTAGGCCCAAGTGAAAGCCGAATTTTACATGTTGAGTTTTTGAAGTTATGTGACACATGTTCAGTCACCATTCTTCCACCTAATCTCTCGGTTACAAAATGTAAACCCGCCTTTCTGCTGTCAGCAGATGTCTTTTCCGTAAGGGATGTAAAGATCTTTGAGGTTGTTAACAACACGATCATAATGAGGAATGCCAGAAATAACCTGAATAAGTTGACTTGATCGATTTCTTTTATCATAAATTCAGACGGACACATCAAAGCCGACTTTTGGCGCTTGCCTACCATACAACAACCAATAAACGCCAAACACGACAGGATAGAAGCCACAGCCAATATGGCATTGGAAATGTAGGCAACTTGATATGCGTGGTAAAGTGGTCGCTTTTCCGGATGCATTTTGCGTAAAGGGCACGATTGTAATGGATCACAGTATGCCTTGAAAAATATATAGTAAGCACAAACCATGACAAGCAAAGTGTAGGTGATGTATTTCCATACTCGATATCCCCTCATACCGAGCGACCAAAAGGAAATTTTTAAAGCAAACAGCGCAGGCATAATCCACTTCTTTAACTGTTGTGGCTCCCTTCCAACCCGGAACTTTTCGTACGGCGCTGCTGGTGGTGTGGGAGGAAGAAGCGGTTCTGTTTCCCTATCAGCCGGTTCATTATAAATTTCAATTTCTCTACCAAGGCCTTCTTGTTCCATCTTGATCCTTTACTTGTCAAATGCACTGATTCTTCTGTGTGGAACGACACTGAGGTGATTCTTAAATTAGCTGGAATCAAATCATGTGGTTTTTGCATGTGACAACACGTCACATGCAAAAAAGCCCGGAACCCGGAACTTTTCGTACGGCGCTGCTGGTGGTGTGGGAGGAAGAAGTGGTTCTGTTTCCCTATCAGCCGGTTCATTATAAATTTCAATTTCTCTACCAAGGCCTTCTTGTTCCATCTTGATCCTTTACTTGTCAAATGCGCTGATTCTTCTGTGTGGAACGACACTGAGGTGATTCTTGAATTAGCTGGAATCAAATCATGTGATTTTTGCATGTGACAACATGTCACATGCAAAAATCCCGGAACCCGGAACTTTTCGTACGGCGCTGCTGGTGGTGTGGGAGGAAGAAGCGGTTCTGTTTCCCTATCAGCCGGTTCATTATAAATTTCAATTTCTCTGCCAAGGCCTTCTTGTTCCATCTTGATCCTTTACTTGTCAAATGCGCTGATTCTTCTGTGTGGAACGACACTGAGTTGATTCTTAAATTAGCTGGAATCAAATCATGTGATTTTTGCATGTGACAACATGTCACATGCAAAAAAGCCCGGAACCCGGAACTAAACGGACGCAACATTGTTGGACGTTACATGTTACGTCCGTTTGCGCACGCTGTTGTATGTTGCTGGATGTTGTTGCATGTTGCTGCTCAAAGTTTGAAACCGGTCAAACTTTTAAGCCAACAACTCCCAACATTTCTTTTGTTCCGTAATCGCCGAAGCGTAGCGCAACAATGTTGGATCCGTTTGCACAGCTCTTCTAACATTGTTGGGGCCATGCACGCTCATTACACATGGTTTACAAAGACTTATGGGCTGTATACTTCCCACAATGCACTGTAGGTCCTAACATCGTTGGGAGTTGTTGCCGCACCACTGCCAACACGCACGCAACAACTCCCAACATTGTTGGCTCAACAATGTTGGGAGTTGTTGCGTCCGTTTGCACGCAGCCTAATACCTTAATTAGGACCGCGGATAAGAACGAATCTGAAAGTGAAAGGGCGTCTGGCTAAGGTTAGCAATGCTAAGCGAGTACTTAAATGTAACAGGCTTAAGCCCGTGCCTGTAGGGGGCTTTATAGGTATCCTTCCCCGCAAAACTACCCTGGGAGTCTCCCAAGGTATTACATTATTCTCTCAAGTAACCTTTATTTCCAAAAAGTGGGGGCATTTTAATACCTGGAACACGCCAAAAAAAAACCAACAGCAAGCAAACAAACAAACAAAAAAAAGAAAAACCAAAAAAAATATTTAACTACCCGCCTCGCTGCAGTTGAACATTTGCTTCAATTGTGTCAAAAAAAATGAAACAAACAGAAAAAGTATCTCCTTTTATTCCATAGCTGTTTAACTAACCCTTAATTACTGTAACTACTCATCTCGTTTAGTTTTTACTATTTTGAGTAGCTTTTTGCCTGGTCTATTTTACTTTATTCAGTTTTTTGTAAACATTTTTTTTAAGTTGACAAATTTAATGGCTGGTTGGTTGGTTGGTTGGTTGTTGTTGTTGTTGTTAACAGTCAACTAACTGAAAGCTCAGATCATTAGTTAATGAGAGCTAAACAAACGTCACTCTTTGAAACTGACCTGCCTGTTGAGCGGAACGAACCTCATTGGTGGTGTAGGGCTCATAATTATGTCGCAAATCCCTTAAATGGAAATATCTTAACGTAGCGCCAAGGTAACTAAATAAACTGACGCATATAAGAAGAGGTAGGGAGTACCAGTTGTGAAAGCGTTCCTTTAAAAAGAATAGTGATATCATTGAGAGGTTTTCTAGGACAAATAAGATATTACACAAATTCTGCATATTTATAAAATGTTTACGAGTGTTTCTATTGGCACTGGCCGAGGCATCCACGTACAAACCTAAAGACATATCGTCTCTAAGCCAATTGAGTAATGAGAAACAAGGAGCTACTAATGCTGCTTCACGTTTTAAATTGCCAGTTTGGTAACAATACAAGATGTCGATTACCATCAATATAATGGCGTGTAAAAATATCACAATACAAACCCACCATTTGTAACTAACGATAAAGAAAGCGATAGCAAACAGTCGACCAATCAAAATGAGTAACTCAGTTACAAAGAGTAAAACGTCGTGTTTCAGGTCCAGGACACCGATTTCATCGTCATGTAGCATTTTATCAAGAGTTGAAAAAGACAGCGATAAGCTCAGGAATGATAGCGGTAAAGAGATCATTTGAATATTCTGCACTGGTTCCTCTTGAACGCCTATGGCGAAGAGCTGGATTAAGATCTGTGGCGCTGATTCCAGAAGGGCCTCAAAAAGTGTGTCTATCTTATTCTGAAGGAGTAGAGCGTCCGTCTTTTCAGTGGCCCACTCTGGTCGAGTTGGCAGCTCTGTTTTATGGTACTGGCTTGATCTTTTCCATATGTCGTCATAGTGCCGTAGGCACATCCAAAATGTTTGTAGTTTTGTCAAGAAGGGGGCAAAGGGGTGCAGACGAAAAAGTACACGTAAATGCTTTGTCTTTACTGATTTCAAGGTATTCAGACTCAAAGCTGCATCCATGTTTCTTTGAGCAACACTCTCCGCGGAAAAGTAGTGCGAAAGTGGATAAAACAGGCAGGGCAAAATAACAAATACAAGACCCACACTAAACCATGTCACGTGATCTGCGCGATAGAATCCCACCAGTGTGAAAATGTCGGTTATTGGGTCTGCCAAGCTTAAACAGGCCACCAAAAGATGGAAGAAGGTTTCGTACCATTTTATGCGATACAGTTCTTGCAGAGTGATCTCAAACGATTCAGACATTTTAGTCGCAGGGATGACGCACAGCCTTTGATTGAATTCAACTTATTGACAGTGACACGCACTATTTCGTAAGCACTTCGAGCTCTCAAAATGAAAGAATTAAGTGTCATTTTTAACATGAATGGATAATTGATGCACAAAAAATAATGATGCGTAAATGGGAGTTTAGCAGAACAAAATGTAATTAAAAATTCGTCCCCATAGAAGACTCGACAATGATGTTCAAGTATGATTTACATCATTAGATGAAGGCAGCGCGCCTTAAATTGAGCAACGAGGTAGGATGACCTATGACAGCTCAAGCAAAAATAGCGAAACCATAGTGCCTCCGTCGAAAACAAATTTCTCTAGTAGTACCTAGGTAAATAGAGGCAACCATTTCTTTCACTAAAAGGTTGAAAGGAAGTTTAACAGTGATAAACAAATTACCAACTGTTAAAAAGCAAAGGGTAAACAATGATCATCAACGCATGCACATCATAATTTGCCTGGGGCAAAGCCGCAGTGAACGTGACTGTATGAGCACCTGACTCCATGGCACAGACTTCCTGTTTTCTGCTGATGCAAATGCGTCAGAGAACAAAAGTAAGCTGCAGCAAAACTTTCTTATTTCAATTGATAGTCGAAATATCGCAACTGTAGTCTTTAACGTTGTTTGATCAGTCCTTGCAGTTGTCTTTTTGACAATAATTTATACTATACACTCAGTGTAAAAAAACAACAATAACGACAAAAACTAGCGTTAACATAATTTTATTTATGACTAATTGACATGCCACTACATACAAGGATCTAATAAATGCAACTTATTCAATATGCAACCTAAGTCTGGTGAAATACTCCCCTCGTCAGAAGGTCTTACTGGTTTTCTGAACTATTAAAATTAGATAAGAACCACCGCGCGGTGGACGATGGGAAGAGCTAAAGGGTGAAATCATATATATAGGCGCTTTCATTTTCCAACAGACCCCAGAAATTCCGGTTGAAATGTAAATAGACAAATAGTTTTCCGGTTGTTCCAATGTAAAATTTCCGGTAGCAACAGAACTTCCTACAGGAAAGGAAATCCGGCTGACCCGAACGGAATGGTCCAAACGGAAATTCTTGTCCAATTGGTCAAACCCATCTTTAAAAACAGTTTCAGGCTTTGGCGCGACAGTATTTCGGTAAATGGAACTGATTCTATGAACAGTAAACGCGATTCCGGAATGAAATTTACCATTCGGTCAAATAGTGACCTGACCGGTTTTCCCACATCGTTGGAAAGCGCCCCTTCGCCCCTTCTCCCCTTCTCTTTTCCCTCCCCGCCGTCCCTTACACGTTTTCTTAGCTCCTCTCAACCTAACCTACTGTTAACACAAATAGGCCTAGGCGGAGGATATTTAGCTCAATAAAAGTCAAACCAAGATGAATTATCTCCCCCGTTTTTCTTCAGCGTATTCCATTTCTTTAGCCTTCGAGCAAGCGGCGGATAGAAGGCCTTGAATGCAGGCTAAACACTAACCTTTGTCGAACAGTTAGTAATAATCTTCTTTAAAGATTTTGTATTTATTCTTCTATATAATTATTATTATCAATGAAAAGTTGACTTCACATTGCTACGAGAACCTGTGCGAAAAAAACGGGCTCCTGTTTGAAGAAACGTGATCTTTTTAGTTTTTTTTATGAAACTTTTAAATTTGCTGCAATTTTTGCACTCCATTTGCTTTATTCGTCCCTCGAAAGCCTCTCAGAAATCAAACCGTAAGGTAAATTGAGGAACACCTGACTTTAGATACAAGCAGAAACTCATAAGGGGTTGAAAGGTGTAACTCTCATATGTTTGCCTTGTTCGATGCTCGTGATTATTAATTTTCGAAAGTACCATATTTGGAACGAGAAGAAAAGATAACTGACCAAACAAACTTCGTAAACGACGTGACGTAATATTACTTCACGTTCCCGCCCCCGCTTAAAAAATGGCCCAAAAACGGGGGAAAAACTCCCGAAAGCCGAGTAAGCTTTCAAAGGTTAAAAATAAACCTGGAAGCTTACCGAAATACTGAGCAGGAAATTGGCTTACCACCAGGGCCAAACTCAACGTTATGAAATCCATTGACGTCGGTCACTTCAAAAAACGCTAAACTGCAAAACTATACTGCAAATAGGCTTTTTAAATTCTCTTGTTATATTCCTAGAATTTCACTCAACTAAACTGGGACTGCCATTGGTTGATTCTTGGTCACGTGGCCTTGACTAAAATCAAATGTATCCCGATCGTGATACATTAAACAATGTATCCCGCTCGGGATTCATTGCAGCACGTGATCAAAGCATGGTGGAAAGTGGCGTGACAGAAGGCGGGAAAAACACCGCCAGGTCCTGCCAGTTTTCTTTTTCGTGAATGAACACAACAACACAATCACGAAGCCTCAAGCTAAAAAGCAACGATTTTTAAAGTTATCCCTGAAGTTCCCAGAAGAAAAACAGCAGCTAGTGGAGGGAAAAAATGCAGATGATATAAGGAAAGTACTTTTGTTTGTAAATCATTCATTCAGTGCTTTTGAGAATTAAATTTGTGTTGTTATAAGTACCGAGTCGACTGTTTTGGTTCGTTGTCGTTCGCTCCGGTTATTCTTTTGTTGCTGTTGAAGTGAAAGTTCTAGATAGAAATATAACAAAACACTTAATGTCAGATCCCTCGGGAAACCAGTTAGTTTTGTTTTCCCTCCAGTCCTGATGTTTCCCTCGACTTCGTCTCGGGAAACATCAGGACTCTCGGGAAAACAAAACTAACTGTTTCCCTTGGGATCTGACATTAAGTGTATAATATTAATTAAAAGTCTAGAATTAACAGTTAAACATATTTCCGAATAAAATTCATTATCTGCGTATAGAAAAGTGTCCAAAAACTGAACCTGAAAACGATTTTCTCTCTATATAGAAGGTCTACCTGATTAACCCGAGTTATATAGAGAGAGAAAACCGTTTACAAAAAAAACCAATAAAACGGCTATAAATCGGCCCGTGGGCTACACAGGAGAGACGTAACTCACATTTTAAGTAAGTTAAGCTGTTTTTTATTGAAATCCTTTTTTTTTCGTAGGTTACAGAAACGATAGGTGTTTATCCCAACAAATCCTTATATTTCGAATGTTACGTAACAATGCCGATTTTCGCCGATGCTCGATGCTCATATTTCGACCTTGGGCTACCCGTGGTAAAATCGGCTGAGCACATAGCGAAAATTCAACGCAAAATCCATCTCAAATCGGGGCGCATTTTGTAATTTTTCTTTAGCGCCGAAGAAAAAATGTATGAAACGTCTCTGAAACATTTATAAATACGTAAATTCCCTTTCAAAAACGTAGTTTTCTTGACCAGAGAGAGCAAAATGTACCTGAAAATTCAGCAAAAACTTCACTGCCTTGGTTGCATTTCAAAACAGACGATTTCTTGATGAAAAGCTTCCATTCCTCCACAAAAAGAAAACTGAACATTCTTTTGAACTTTCTTTCTCCATTTTTTGTCTGTCAGTTGTAACGGCGTATTTTTAACCTTGAAATGAAGAACGCTGGTCTTAGAACCACTGCATGGTGATCGAGCGGCTGCTATTTTAGTTTGCTGAAAATGGATATCCTTCACTAAGGTTTCCAAATATGTTAAGAAAGAACATTCACGAGCATTGAACGCGAGTTACACGTTCCAACCCCCTATGAGTTTCTGATACAAGTAAACAGGTGTGGAGCAGCGACGACCCCAGGGTCTTCTCGCTTTGCAGTATGGCGGCGGCAGGAGAGAAGACCCTGGCACACAGCAGAAATCAAGTGAGCGATTCATCCACGGAGAGTGGAAATTTATTCAAAATAGCGGCCAAGATAAAGAGTGAGAGGATCTGGGTACGAGGTCTTGAGACTGGTGAAAAACAAACAAAATGGCGGCAAAGGCAAACTCGAAAGAAGCTAAAAATATGCAAGAATGCACTTAAAGGCCACAGGAATACGGCAGAATGATATATCTTATTTTCTGTTCCATGACCTTCATTGGTTTTAAGCTTGAACGTTCTGGCGTACACGGCACTTTATAACTGTCTACAACTTAATTTCTCGACGCCGGCCTCTTTTCGTTGTTTTCTTTTTTTTGCAATTCACACACTGAAAATGCTTTTAAAAGCTAAAACATGCCAGTATGATGCGTTGCAACAATGGTGACCCTAAGAGAGGGACAAGTACTGACATAAATCCCGTTTTCCATTTACTGAATTATTGTCTTACGACGTCCCATATGAGCCTCCCTATTTCGTGATTACTGGAAGGGGTTTATACCAAAAAAACTATTCTAAGAAGTTTTTATAGTAATATGTTCCTTGAGTTAACCTCATAAAATTCTAGGTTATATATGTAATCTGTTGAGCCAAAGAGGAACTGAAGGGCACCCAGGATAGGGAGGCATTGAAAGTTATTTTACTGATCTAAAAACCACAACGTCTCTCTTAAGCATACGAAACAAATAGAGCGATGTTGTGACGATGCGGCCTTGAAGGGGTGACCTTCATTCCAATCATCTGACGTCGAGTGGTTTATTTTCTCGTAGATTCCTTCAAAAAAGAAGGAGATCGTTCAACATAATTTTACAGTTAAATTAGCATCTTTCTTAGGGGAAGAGAGGGGTCCAAAAGGCATTTTTCGAGAGGGTGGGGGTGTCATTTTGATTTTTTTTTTCTTCGGGGGCTCCGAGAAAGATCAGTGAGTTATTTAAACTAGCAGCTGCTCTGTTGAGCAAACCATCAGTTATTTTACTGTTAACTAATGTTTCAAAACAAGATTGTTATTTTCATTGATGACCCTTTATAATCACTTTTAATCACTTGGCTGAATGTTTTTTTTTTTTTACGGCTTACGGGATAGTCTTTTAATACAATGGTCATCTGCTCTTGAATGAAGTTCCGCTTATCTAGCTAGCTGTTGCTTTTTTTCACGATTGTGGTATTCACGGTAATGTGGTCGTGTTCTAAGTCTTGTTCTAAAACATGTTTTAACTGAAAGAAGTTCACTCGATGTTTGTGTTTCTGTCGTAATTTGTAATAATTCACGTAATTTGAAATAACTGTCGTAATTTTCAATACATGCCGCAATTTGTTAGAACTTTACTTTACTGATTGTTTCATTATCATCACTTTTCCATACGAACAAAATATACGTATAAAATTTCAAAAATTTCAAAAAGTGAGGCAAAAGAGCTCAACGAAGCCAAAAGGGATTGTGAATAGGACCACCTTATAAATTATGTTACTTAATTAATAAATAAAATACTGACATTGGCAAGACGATTTAACTCTTAGCACGCACAATTTCTTTAGAACATAGATAATGATCATTAATAGGCCAATTGCACGATGACATCATTTTACTACTACGACCAGAATCCTTCAGGGTTTTGCTTTCTTGTGCTAATTAGGGCCTTTGTTATTCAAACCTCACTGGGAGTGCAAAATTTAAATATGAAAGGAAAAACGAAAAGGATTCTGGTCGTAGTAGTAAATGACGCCATCGTGCAAATGGCCTATTAAGATAAAAATAGATAAGGCTGAACGTGTACATGTAATTAAAGTGCAAAACCGAAAAAGAAAAGGTGAGAAAAAAATGCAAGAATAAACAAGAAAAAAAAAGCGAAAGAAACGAAAAACTACACACAAGCATCAAGAGAACTAAGGTGTGCTTATACCAAGAAAAATGACTTAAGTCAGGAGCCTTCAGCGCTAATAATTAAATGAGGGCAGACTTTTGGACTCCTTCCTGTAACATGAGTAGAACGATTTTTTTTTGCCTTTTCTCGTAAAAAAAAAGTGCATTTCCCATTATAATATAGTGCAATAGCATTTTCGACGAAAGTATTCTGTCCAGGGGTACTTAACTAAGATGGAAATATGACGGAAATTCTAGGTGGGTAGGGGAGGTATTACAAGCAAAACCAAAAATGCTCTTTTTGGGGGGGAATATTTTCTGGAACTACACAATTCAATTAACGCAAAGACACTTTTTACATGGTATGAAGTAGTCTCTTTAATAGATGGATTGATGGCTACTTTGTAAATATCTGATTTGAGGTGATTCCGCTTCGCATGATTTATAGCCTGCGTAGCATGGCGGTTTTCTCGGGGCGCAGTGCTGTCGCCCCAGTCTCCTCGCGATTTTTCTGCCCTCGCCCGCCTTCATTACTCTGCGTGCAAAACCAAGACCGCCATGCTACGCAGGCTACCGCGTTTAAGGAGGGAGATTAGAACAATAGTGATTGATTTGGGTTCCACCAGATACAAGGGTTTTAAGAGCGCCAATTCCCATCTACATATTACTTTATTACTAGAAATACGCGTTTCCCAGAACCTCACGAGGCTTGAAATTACAAGCACTACATACAATCATACAATCATATATCGGTTACTTTATAATTACTCATTTTTGCGGGCTCCTAAGTAAAAGCCGGAAAACGAAAAAAATGATTCTGCGGGCGAGACTTAATTTCGCGATAAGGAGCGTAAAAAAATTCGAGAATGCGTTTTCTCAAATGAGGAGAAAAGACGTAATAAGCCCTAGTAAGTTTTGTCACGCTAGGCCCTCAGTAAATCGGCTTCGCCGTGAACGACATCCTCCGAAAAGTTATTTTCTTATGTCTGGAAACAGTTTATCCCGACCAGTAAAAAATAGGATTAGACTGTTGTTTCCCTCACAAATTTCGTTTTCCTTAAACTGAAACAGGATATCCTTCCTGGTTACCGAGGCTAGGGCGTGAAATAACTCCGTGTGGACAGTACAGATAGAAGCTCCGATGATTGGCCCGCTCTATCGCTATTTAGTCCATGCACACGACCCATTTCGCTTTTCCTGCAAATGGTTTATCCCAACGAGTAATAGAAGGGTTTATAACTTCTTTTCATATCTGATTTTTTTTTTCATCGCGTATGCTTCGCTTCACTACTCTTGACTCTTGACTGTCAGTAGATAACTTTCATGAAAACAAGCCTCCGCGTCACATGACTCCAAAATTGCACCGTGATTGGGCCTGAATTGTTTGTTTTGGTCGCGGATCAAAACATTTCCAAAAGTGGAAAAGCTCTGGACTTATGACCCACCGTACACCAGATCTTTATGTTTATTGGGCTAGTATAGTGTAGAACGAACATTTCTCACCAGAACTAAGTGGAAATTCCATCTTGGATTAGTGGCAATAAAACACCTGTAACTCCAACGAGAAAAGACACCCAGGCTAGAGAATCGCCGAACGTGATTCTTCCAACTCTAAATCCGCATCGCCTCTTTTTAGCGTAGGAGACGAACAAGGAGATGTTGTTACGATCTTTAAACGGATGGCCTTCATTCCAGTCATCAGAAGTGGAGCAGTTGACTTTCTCGTAGATTTCTTTGAAATAAAGAGAAAGAAAGACAGCAAGTTAGAAGGCGTAAAACTCTTAAATGAAAGGTACTAAATATTAGATAGAGGCACCGTGCATTGTTACGTGCCATGATAAGTCGCTGCAACGATTTTTTTACGTCTTGTGACAAGCAAGTGACTCCACACACAACAAAGTTATGTATGTGTGTTGAGTTCTGTTCGCACCGTTCTACTAAAAAGAAAAAAAAAACATAATTTGGCGTCTGTAAAAAAAAGTGGGAATTTTGTACACACCAATTTTTTGATTTTGCAACCTTGTTCGCATCTGTGAAATTTTTCTTCTAACCAGAAACGTCAATTAAAGGAACTTTTAATAACTGGCTACGCTCGCGAAATAAGAGGGCCCGACGAAGGATCGCTGTCAAGGAACAAAGGAGTTTTTTACCTGACAAAAAAAATGTAGGCCTCCAAGTCTCCTCGACGGTATCTTTGAGCTTTGGTGACAGTTGAGAAAACTTTAGTCGGTGAAAAAAATCGTTCGCACTGGAAATGGCTTAATTCTTGTTGACAGTTTTTTTTTTTTTTTTGCAAAACAAACAAACTTTACTTAATGCGAACAGGGCCTTAGCAACTCCTTGATTTCATCGGACACCTTAGCATTTAAGTATTTTTCGCTTTGTGGCACTTCGAGAGGAGTTTGGATCGACAATATAACGTCATAGTTGTGAAATAACGTCATGGTGTCGATCACAGTTATGCCTAGATGTTGGAAATGTTGGGAAGTTATTAATGCAATATTTTGGTGGCCGTCACTTGAGGCAAAAAAATGCCCGTCTGAATAGGGTTAGCAAAGTGCAATTGTACTCCATATAATTCTTTGTATCCATTCAGTTAACACCGCTAGCGTTCAGAAATTAGCCTGCGTCACAGACGGAAATAAACTTCTGGTTAAGTCCGTCTGCGAAAATCCTTGCTCGGGGGCCCCCCACATGCGTACCAGGATTTGAGTACGCGTCATGATTGGCCTTAAAAAAATCTTATCGTCGATTTGCCCATCAGACTGAAAGAAAATTCGAAACGCATTTCCAGAACAAGGGCATCGGCGCTGCTTCGCAGACTAACCGGCCTTAAATTACGTCTGCATGTGTCGCAGGCTATTCCGAAACGAGATGAACAAAATAAAAATTAGTGTACATCAGTTGGCTATCGCCGCCTCTTTAACACTTATAATAAACATTTTGCCCATTTGATATTCTGGCTCGGTCTCCTTGCTTTGTTCAAAGATTCAAGTGTCGTGCCTTAGAAATAGATCCAGTATAATAGGCCTAATATACATCTAGCCGATTTTTTGAAAACCAACCTATGGAAATTTGCAGTCACTTATGAGTGAAAAGGCGTCAAAAGGTAGGTTATCAGTGGGCTAGAATAAGATCCAAAATCACACTGACATAGGAAAAGGGAAGGAGAACAAGAAGGAGCGAGGAGGAAGAAAGGAGAAGAAGGGAAAAAAAGCAACGGTTGCATGCATGCACTCTTAGTTTTTATAATGGCTACTTTGGAGATAGTTTTTGGCCGAAAAAGAAAAGCTGTTGGACAAAAAAGGTCCATTTGGCGGTAACGTTTTCAAAACTTTGGCTAGACATACTATAGCTTTTTTGATTTTTTAGTTTTTGTTAAGTATTACCATGCTATGTAAATGTTAGATCTTGGAAGTTTTAGAAATAAGCTCACCTGAATCATTTTATCGGTTTATTATGACATTTCAAAAGCATTCTAAGAAGACTTAAAGGAGTTCAACTTTACATTGACTCCACGGTGTTTGGATAACCGTTGCACTTATAAATATATAAATAAATAAATATAACTTATTTCGACTTTCTGTTGGAGACTTTGCCAGGAAATATAATGAACAACGCACTTGCTCGCTATTCAATTTCTCATTGATTCTATTAAGCCGAGTGCGGGCGTTGCTTTCCTTTGTAGGAATTTAAAGAAAGCGGTACCTTACCTGCACAATCGCTTGAGATCCTTGCGGCAAATATAAACGGGGTTACAAAAATATAAAAGAGAAATAGCAGATGAAGACCATTAAAAATCAATCTCATATTGAATTCTGAGAGAGGTCGATTTATGTCTAGAAAAAACTTTGTCGAGAACAAAATGTAGCCTACGCTATAAGTAATCAAGTGCAGCAAAAACCAAACACTGTAGACTGACGCAGTACTAAAAACTACGTTACAAAAGTCTTCATGAATTCTGATGACGTCATCTAGGGTTCTGTTTTGAGGGTCCCGGATGAGTCTGAAAGTGTCTTCTGCAAAGGTACCTGAAATAATCAAGAGAGCAAGTTAGAGTGACAGCAAGATATAAACTTTAAGTTCGAGGGTGACTAAGAACAATAATAATAATAATGATAATAATAATAATAATAAGAGTCTTCATTCACAACAAATAGAGTCACAACATACGTGTGGCTTCACAAAATATGGTTGTATTAGCTAATCACTAAAATTAACAATCAAAATCAATTACAATAAGAAAAATTGAAAGAGACATCTGTTAAAAAAAATCTTTTAAAACTTCCCTTTTGACTGCAGGTGAAATAAAAGTATGCCCTCGATCTCGCAGAGATCTCTGTCTTTTAGGGGGAAATAGCTCGAGTAGGGATCCGATTCTCTGTAATAGTTTTTCATAACTTGCAGTCCCGATTTCTCACAACCTCAGTCATTGCATAATATATAAGTAAGACATTTGTATATCCGAACCTAAAGGCACGTTTAAAAAATTGTCAATATCATCAAGATAATTGCATTGAACGGCATGCAGCACCCCAAATTTCGATCCCGTTTAAAACCAGGGGCATAATTTAAAGATCAAATAATTTTGTCAGTTGATCTTTAGGGATCCAAAATCACAGACGCGTAAAATGTATAAACGGCTACTAGCTTTACATAACAAGTTGTCAACATGGTCCCAGTCCGATGGATTCTCCTCAAAAATTATGCGAAGCAGTTTCAACCAGCTTTTCCGTTCAATCCCTTGTACCAAAGGTGGCCCGAAATTGGTTTAGAAATCATGTCACGTACTACCATCTACCAGGTCTTTTGAGGTTTAGTTTCATAGGTTTTTTGCAGCCCAGTTTTCGATACTATTAACCTCAGTGGAAGAGTGACTCTTGATCTGCTGTCGTTTACCATGAAAGAAAAAAATACAGGCCCGAGAATTGTGCCTTCCACGACTACTTTCTGTTTCCTGTTACTAAGAAAGCAGACGATCCAGTTGATCACCAGTAAGGATTGATATTGAGTGACCTTAGCTTATTCCAAACAATAGCGTGTCGGGAACACTGTCAAAAGCTTTGCGGAAGTCGAAGGAGAAAACGCGTACGAAGTCTGTTGCCCCGTCCAACCATTTTAACCAAGGAGCGCCGTGGTTGTGTTACAGCCTTCCCTGTAGGCAAACTGGTCTAGGCCAATGGCAGTTTTTAAGACAGCTCTTGTTTGAGTTTTATTCTTTAAAAACCGGAGTCTTATAATAATATTAGTCAACTGGGATTGAACTAACGTGTAGTGTTCTTGACTTATACTACGTGGACAATAAATATAAATGATAGAGATTGAAACGCTGGGTTCAATGTCAAGCTCAAATCCATGATGCTGGCTTTTAAATAAGATGTCAATGGTTCTTTTTTTAGTGACCTAACTATTCTTTCGCAAAAAAAATTTTTTCTAGGCTTTTGAAAGACACGGTAACACTGAAATTGGTCTATAACTGGTCTCTAATTTGATTTATTTTCTTTATCATTTGCCTTATATACTGATTTGACTAAAGTTGTCTTAAATGCGTCAGGAATTATTCCTGTAAGACGATTTGAAATTGCGTGTAAGTGGCTTTGCGATGTAGCTGGCTATGTGCCTAACCACCTTTAACTGGAGCATAATTGTTAGCCACTTGACTTAAGGTAAGGTAAAGGTTCCCACCAGCCAAAGGCCCAAAGTCCACAAACGGCTGGAGATTAACTCCAATTTCCTTAGCATGAAGCATGCCTGGTACTATTCCCACCCCCCATGGGAAGCTATTGCAACGCAGGGTTATCCCCCGGCAGTATGTCGCCGGTGTGTAGGTCTTTTGTTAATAGTGCGGATTTTCTCCAGGGAAACCTATACTGAGGAGTGAGGGAGGATAACCCAGTTGGGCAAGTTAACCTACCGAGTACTATGCAAATGGCAGCGAAAACGTGACAAATGTTGAGCAGAAACCAAGAAAAGAGAAATTCCGCTGCGGGAAGTACCATAAAAACTTTAGCAGACCAGGGTAAGGAGTCATTATGGGTTGAACTGGCGTTGGATCCGATATTCGTATAATTGAGTACGGACACGGTATAGACGTTGACGCTGAACGATGCATTCATGGCGAGGAAAGCCAGAAATGACATAAAAATGACAGCTTTGTGCGTTTCCTTAATCAAGAACTGTGGAGGACATACCAAGGCCGACGATGAGCTTTTACCTACTATGTGACAGGCAATGAAAGCCAGACATAAAGGAATAGTAGTCGCAAATAAAACAGCGACAGTGAAGCGATAACAACACAATGAAAAGTTGCTATCAGGAGGGCAAAACTGTGATGGATCCCTACTGTAGGCAATCAAAATTACGCTGAAAACAAAGAAAATGATAGCTGCAATGACAAGGAAGGTCTGAGCGAAGTATTTCCATACTCGATGACCCCACATGCCAAGCGACCAAAAGGAAACTTTTAAAGCAAACTGCGCCGGAATGATCCATCTCTTAGGCTTTTGTCTCTCTCGCCCAGCCAGGAACTTCTCGTACGCTGCAGGCGGCTCAGGAGGACGAGCAACAAGCGGTTCTGTTTCTCTCTCGTTCGGTTCATTACAAATTTCATCTTCTCCACCAAGGCCTTTTCGTTCCATCTTAAACTCTGAGGTACCTTATGCGTTGATTATCAGTGTGTACTGAGCATGTAACAACAAGGTGATTCTTAATGAATTTAACAAGTAATCGAATCCTGTATCTTGAGCTGACCCCTTGTCTGCCGGTGAGTACGCATGCTCATTGAATTGCTGGGTTTCAGCTGGGTTTCAGTTTGACAAACGTCTTGAGAAACCTTTGCCCCTCAAACTATAAGTAATTTCAACCTGGCTTTGGCGAGCCCATAGTGTGAAATTGCTGTCCTTTGCTTTCTCAAAGAAGAGCGATGCAACATATAGGAGAGTCTTAACGAACCTGCATTTATGCATCATACCGGTGACACTCAATTATGCAATAATATATATATAATATATACAGTCTGTTTGTGGATATCTGTGTCACATAAGTGTGGCATAGCAACACTACGTCACATGCGTGTCACATGCTAGTGCACATGCAGTTAGGCAAAAAGGATTTAGTTTAAACTTACCGAGTAGAGCTGACCTGACGACGAGCTGAGGAAAAAAATGAACAGTGCAGACGAAAAATATAATTATAATTTGATGTAAATACCTCAATACTAATTTTTTAAAAATATAATACTTGTAATATTTTAGAATGCATAATAAGTTACTATACAATGATAATAATAGTAGTTTTATGTTTACTTTTTTTTGGTACGGCCCCATAAGCTTTTCAGCTTTAATTACTACCGTTGACAAATAAAGTTTATTGATTGATTGATAGAAAACGAGCAAAGCTGCACGTGGAATGAAAAAAACATGTGCGCGCATTCTGACACAGGGTCCAGAGGAGATGTGTTTGTCGTCAGAACATCAAAACCCGTCGAAAACCTCCGAAAAAATGGGTTATTTTGATCGCGTTACAGTTTCGTTACACATTCTATAGCCCGCAAACCAAGAGACTGAGGGCTAGCAAGATCGGCTTACAGTATAAAATACGTCCTTTATTTTACTCGGCACTTCGTGCCTCGGTCGCCCTTCGGGCGCCGTGCCGTGCGCCGGCGAGGATGTGGCTTGCGGTCATCGATTTTCAAAAGTCGATCATCGTTTACAGTAGATTTATTAAGATGCCATTGGGCTAATTAATCGTGCTAAGCGACACTGGTATAGACATTTTTCAAGGTGAGACTTTAAATAAGTAATTCATTTATTCACACGAAACTCCTCTGGACCCTGTGATTCTGATGCTTTTAGATGCACGCGCACCTTGCTCGTGCAGTCTATGACGTATTTCCGGCACCGGAACCAACTTAAAAGTCGAGATTCTTTCTGCTAAATGCTTGTGGCTAGGCTTCACGGGTCCAGTTTAGGTTGCGTTCTCCTGACAAGACACCAATCAGATCAATTTGTTATCAATCAGTTTTTAGCGCCATAACACTTTGAAAAAATTACCTTTTACAGTTCAAAAAACAAAACTATGTTCAGCTTGATATTATCTGAACTAAGATAGTACGCGAAAAATCGTTGTCCGCATACTGTTAACCTGGCACGTTCTTTAATATTGTACTTATGAAAGTGGCATTTTGGAGCTGCAAATCTATTAACGAATTGTTAAATAAATTCGGCTTTCGTGCTCGGACTCCACGCACAATTGCAATTATGCATTTTATTATATATCAATTAGTACATTTGAAAAAAAAATGTACATATAAAATGATACTGCGACGTCGACACAAGGAATTATCCCTCCACGAGAATACATTATCAGTCATTTAAGCGCTATCACCTGATTTTAAAATGTTCCCTAGAAAACAATTCATTAATAGTGACTACAGCTATTTCGAGAAAGGTTGTCGGATAAAATGAGCACGCGAAGATCCCGAAAGGTAATTTCGGATATGATCCAAACATGTACTGTTCCTGACACTGTAGCTGTCGAACCTACTTTTGTTGCTTTCCTTTAGCAGACGCAAACACAGGCGTCCATGGCTTGTCGTAGGATTCTTCAAATTTGTATTTAAAGAACAGTGAACTCAAAACCACCCACAATACCTTTCGGGATTGCCGTGTGCACTTTTTGCGATAACCTCTCTCGAAATAGCAGCACACAACTAATATTCATTGACATCCGACATTGTTAAGCCTTGATGTGTTCAGATTTTATGAAATTCTCCCTGATTTCGCCGTTGCTTATTTCATTAGCCATTTCCTCGCTTTTCACGAAAAACGAACTTCATACACCTACTAGCCTGCGCCACAGACAAAACTAATTTCTGGGTAAGTACGTCTGCAAAACAGCGCCCAGAAATCCTTGTTCTAGGCCATTAGCTGTGTACCAGGATTTGAGTACGCGCCATGATTGGCCTATTGAAAGAGCCACTTCCAGTAATCCGTCGATTCCATTGGGCGCCCAGAACAAGGATCTCTGCGCGCCACGTCTGTGACGCAGGCTATACAACTGTAAATGATGGCGATTAGTTAAAAAGTCCCGACAGATCTGTTGATGTAAGAAAATACATAGCTTTGCTGCCATGTTCAATGACCAATTGTTATTAGAACTTTAGTTCAAGACGGATTTGCTCAGTTAATCTTCTTTCAAGAACATAATGTAATAGTCTTCAGAAAGGACGACAGGGTCTTTAATATGGGGTTTCAGGTGCGTTCGCGCGGTAGGTAGGCCTTTTAAAGAGTTTTTACGCCTTACGTACACGGCAAACGGCAAACATCAGATTCAAGTTGAGAATTTCCCACAATAGAAAATGAGCAAATAAAACAGCTCAAAACAATTCTTATGGATAAAAAATTGCATGAAACTACTTATTATTGAAATAAATTATGAACAGTAAACGACACGTAAAGGCGAAACTTGGTCACGTGGTACAAATTCGCCTTTGCCGTTAGACGTAAACGTGATGCTTAATCTTTCTTATAATGACGGCCAGACCCATCTTTCAGCTTTGCTGTTATGTTCTTTTGTTTGATGAGCAGCACGGAGCACTGATTTTGCACAGTGTTTGTGTAGATTAATAATAGACTGACTGACTGCGAGCAGTCTCTCATTTTTCTTTGCGAGGTTACTGCACGCGAATCCTAAGCACGTGAGTGGCGAATTAAGCCGCGAGCCGCGAGAAATGAGGGCGTAAGCCCGAGAAGGAAAAATAATAATCTCGTCTCGTCTCGTCTCAATCCGTTATTGTAATAACAACGTCGTGGTTTGCAATCGCGCTGGATGAGATAAGAACTAGACGCATTTTTAAGAGAAAAGGCGGACTGCAAGCAGTCTAATTAATAAAATAGAAAAATGATAAGAGGTTGCCCTTGGTCAACTCCAAGCCATCTTCACACTTCTCTAGAAGAAGTGAAACAATAAAGCTGTCAGACCAAAGAAGAAGGACACCCAGGCTAGGGAAGCATTGAACGTAATTTTACCGATCTTAAACCCACAACGTCTCTCTTTAGCATATGAAACAAACAGGGCGATGTTGTGACGATCCTTGAAGGGATGCCCTTCATTCCAATCATCCGACGTGGTGTGATTTATTTCCTCGCAGATTCCTTCAAAGGAAGAGACCGTTCAACATAAATACAAAATTAAATTCAAATCTCTCTTAAGATCTTATATTCACTGCAAATGCTAGAACTAGCGTTTGCGGCGCTAAATTTCTCAGGCAATGGTAAGGGAAGGGCGGACTTATTCGAAGAGCAGGCGCCGTTTTTAGCGTTATTGAAATTTCGGTCCAAAATAGCACTGTTTTATTTCAAGGACTCCTGAGTATGCCTCCTGTATGTTCTATCACGTGACTGATGGTCAACGTCATGGCAGGAGAAAGTCCCTGTAGATGAACTGTCTCTGCTGAGGGTGGGGTTTTGTCAGTGTCTTTCGGTGGTGGCCTCCTGGTCGCATCATTGTCAGTGGAGTGACAGTTGACATTGAACTCAGTTATGGTTCAGTTATGGCCACAGGAAGAATAAATCATCTAACAGAAGGTATAAATTGCTGTTTATAACACCAGGATTTATAAGGTAACAGCAACAATGTTATGCCATAAAATCTGGCTTTAGACATTAAATAAATAAAGGTGTCCACCTTTATTATTTTATTATGAACTTACCAAGACAGTGGTTTGTTATCCTTGCAGCACACACAGATGGGAGTAAAAACAGATAAAAAAGACAAACAAGGTAGAGGCTGACATGAAGTCGATCAAGGACAGGAATCAGCTCGAGTCCTCTAGACACAAAAATTATAGCCACAGGGATACCAGCTCCATATGTGAACCAGTGAAGCACAAACCATACACTGTAGGCTGATGCAGTACTGAAGACTACACTGCACAAGTCTTCATGAATTCTAATGACATCATCAAGGGTCCCATTTTGTAGGTTCTGAATAAGTCTAAGGGCATCTTTTGCAAAAGTACCTTAGGGTAAAAAAAAAAAGAAAGCCAATCACTTTAAGTTGAACCAACCTGCTTGCTATGCTGTGCAGCAAGAACAGTTTGAATGCATTTTTTTTTTCAACATACAGCAGACGGGTAGTTTAATATATTATATTAGTAACTAAAGGCCGATTTGCTAAGTCCTGGGTCATTGACTGGTACTCTAATTAAGTCATGTAATATAATGGAAGGGGGTAAAACTGCTGCCCTGCAGCAGAGCATTATTTATTGCAAATACATGCCAGCATATTAAATCATGCAGCACAATAATGGGTAAACTAGAGATCAGCTGGGACTGCTTTAATCTTTTGTACTTTGCTTCCATGAGATAGCATAGTACTGTCAAGCTATTTGCAGTGTTAATTGTGGTTCTCCCTCTTTCTTATTTCATTTTGTTTAAATTTTGTTTCTCTTTATTTTCCTAGTCTGATGACAGTGTGTAATGTTGATGCTATGTGCAACATAAAGTGTTGATGATTACTCTGTTTTTATAGGCCTCAAACTCATGCTGTTTAAAGGGCCTCCAACTTTTTTACTCCCACTTAGGATCCAGATGAGTAGTGGCCCACTTATTTAATGATCTCAGGGCTGAATCTGTCACTCCCATATACAGTTATGTAGAGGCCTTGAAAGTGGGTGGGCGGTAGATATGGAAGGAGTTAACATTTCTGAAAGTAAGAGAGTTGGCGATGTCACTTGTTGACCCTGTTCTTGTTTGTTATGCAGGTTTTTTCCAGTGGGTCACCGTCTCTTAGTTTCCGGGGGAGGGGGGGGGGGGGTACTTTAGGAATTTCTGGGTGGGGATGTGCCGCTGGGACCCTGGAACTCTTAACCTATACCAGAGCTAGTTCAGCTGAATTTTGCTACCCTATACTAGAGTAAACTCCCCAAATCCCCCTATCCTAGAGTAGCTGTTTCCCTTGTCTAGGTAAAATCTTCAACCAACTGATCAGTTTCCTGAAAAATGATACCCTATTCTAGACCCAAACGCCTTGATTTATATACCCTATCCTAGAGTAAACTGCCTGAAAACCATACCCTTCACAGCGGCACATACCTATATAGCCCATATATGGCAATACCCCCCCCCCCCACCCGGGCTTAGTTCACAGTTTGAGTTTGCGGACGGACTTTTATCAAGACAGTGCTGAGCTAAGCTTATAATATATCATTATCATTATCATTATCATTATTATGGTAACCACTCACCAAGTGCCAAAGAACTAAAGGCAAAGATGTGACAAATGTTGAGTGCTACCCAGTGTAAAAGAAACTGTACAGCAATAGCTGCCACTAATATATGTCTGCAGAATGAACCTTCCACAAGTTTAATTTCAATGCTGGTGTTGTAAAGTAGCCCAATCGCGCTTGCCAGCAGCAACGTCGTAAAAATGAAGAAAGCGAACAACGTTAATGTAATTTTTCTGTCATTATTCTCAATAGTTGATAGTGAAGGTAGCACACAAGCAGACCTTTTACGTTTGGCTACCATAAAACAACCAGTAAAAACGAGAAACGAGGAGACGGACGCCAGATTTAACAAAGCCTCTGCAATGTGTTCAGTGTACGTGCTGTGTTCCATTGCTATCTTCTCCTTTTCTGTTTCATTCTTGTAGTTCAAACGACACTTGTCTAACACATCAAAGTACAGCGAATAAGATACTTGGTATAAGCAAACAGTGGCTAGTAGTACGCGAGGTATGAAGTTCCAAGCTTGATGATTCCATAATCCAACTGAAGAGAAGCAAACTTTGAACACATTCAGGGCGAATTCACCGCTTTTAACAGGCGCCAGAGTTTCTCGTCCTTGCCGAAATTTTACGTAAATCGGCTGGGTAGGCACAAGAAGTGGTTTCATTTCTCTATCGTTCGGTTCATTATTAATAATCTCCTCCCTTCCCACGAGGTCTCTCTTTTCCATTGTCGATCAAGGCCCTGGACGGTGACTTTTTTCGCAACTTGTCTCGATTAACAACTGAGTAATCTTTCTGCCTCTTCCTTGAAAGTCACCAAAACGTATTCTTTGAATTCCGTGACCGTGCAAAGTACTTGCAGAACACGTTTAACCGCCATCTTGAAAGCCTTGGTGCATGACAAAATAATGTATAAAAAATTTCAGACGACGTTGAATGAAACAAGATCGCATGACACACGTTCAGTCACGTTCGAGGTGCGCGCGCTGGAAATTAGTCAATTTAAGCCAATCAGCCAATTTGTCCTCGGTATTTCGGGGTGTTTGTAAAGCACCCGCGATCTGTCTTCTCAACAGAGGCTACCGCCGGTTGTCTCACGTGAATTTGTCCTTGTATTAAAACGCGCAGATAAAAGGCCTCAGCCGAGGAGAGAGATTCGCAAATACCTAATATAACTGTGAATACGTGACGCATATAAAACACTGTTCGCGAAAAATAGACTGCACACGTTTGTGACGTCAAATTTACCAAAGATTCTTAAAGTGCAACCTCGTCCCCAGGGTCTTCTCGCTTTCCAATATGGCGGCGGCAGGAGAGAAGACCCTGGCACACAGCGAACTAAAACGATCGCTGATTGGTGCATTCCGTGGTGCGTTCATACGTGCGCTCTCATTGGTTTATTCCTTCCAAAACAAAGATGGTTAACATTTGAGGGCTTCGTAGAGGCTGAGAAGTGCTTTCTTCAGTGTTTGAGACCTAAAAGGTGGACAGAATTCAGGTCTGATTGTTCGGAAAACAGTGACTTTACCGTTGGAAGGCAAAGATTCGAAGATAGTGATATCTGAAATGGTAATCGCTGGGAATATTATGAGGCGTAGAGGTATTTCTGTTGCTCGCTCTATTTGGTTTGTGTGTTCTAAATTACTAAAGATTTGTTTCTTTAATTCCCGATTTGTCAAAGAATACTTGCAAGGCTTCAGCTTATGACTAAATTTAGCTGTCCGTTTGGGAACTGCCTTTTGTTTTCTTTGAACAATAGCTGTATGCATAATATTATTAATGTATGGGGTTATACGGAAATCGTGCATAATCTGTGGTTTGTCTCAGCAGTTTTTTGTCCAGTGAAGCATTTTTTTTTTCATTTGATCGTAACATGCATGGGCCTAACCTGGCCTTCTTTTAATTTTTTTCACTGTGATTTTGAAGGGGCATGAGGAGCGAGAGAGGCAGATGTCGAAACAAAACTAGAAATTGAAGCCAAACATATTGTCGCTATAATCCTTCCATATTTTTAATCCTGACTTTTCATTTATTCAGTTTTTAGTGTCACAATAATGATAATTTATTATTATTTGCTCATTTCATAGGCATTAAAATACAGCTAAATACAGAGACATTGGGAAAATAAACTGTTTCCTTTTCTCAGAAATGAAAAACTTGCATATTTCTAGTTAGTCTTTCTAGTTGCAAAAATAAAATAATGAAAGCACATGATGTCTTTTATTTTATCAAGCTGAAAATAATGATCAGCCCATGCAAGGAAATCTGACAGTCTTGGATTCTCAATTCTGTGCCATGGATACTGCATTCTGGATTCTTTGTCAGTGGAACTTGGATTCTGGATTCCAATTATAAGTGGGATCCAGAGTACTTGACCTTTATTTCAGTTTCCAAGAGAAAAATTTCCCAGATTCCAGATTCCCTTAGATGGGGTGACAGTGATCCTAAGATGAATAAGTTTTCTGTCAAACCAAAACCTGTTAATTGAGCTTCTAATTACTGTAGGCTAAGTGTGCATATTGTTCTTGTCACTGCATGTTGTTCTTGTCACCATATGCTTGAAAAGGGGGTTTGTGGACCAGGTGAAATAGTGGCTGGCATTGTAGTATTCCAAAACCAGCTGGGTATGATTATGAAGCAGCTATAATTCAGTTCTAAAATTTGGATTTACAAAAATAAACTGCTTCAAAGGGTGCATATATCACGATCCACTGAATAAACAAGAGCGGAAGGGGCCTGTAGCATCTTGATCCCGGGATTTTTCATTTAGGGATGCCAAGGCTTTTGAAGTGTTTTGTACCAGAGTCCCCATTACCATAGTGAGCTTTTAGTTGCCTAGCCATGGCCAATGATTTTCGGGTCACATGGCCCCAAGCAATATATTGAAACAGTTTCCCTCCAGTTTGCCTAAGATAAGTCACAGAAATGAATTGACCAACAAGACCTAGGAAAATGCCACACAGGGACAAGGCAAGGCTTTTAGCTTGTATAGGTGTTGGGCTGTGAGGATGCAGCTGTTAGATGTGCTGGCTCAAATACTTCCAAAGTCTACTTTAAGGTGTTGGTTAGTCTTAGTCATAGTGTCTGTATCATAATCATATCATCAGAAATAATCAGATTAACCCAACTATTACACTGATAATCAATTATAGTAGATAATAGTTTTGTGACCCCTGTGTACCACTTTCAACACTGAAAATACTTTTGTAAGTGAATAAAACAAAAACCTACCCCGCAAGCAAAAGCTTATCTGTCACATAGTTAAACCAACTAAACATCATATAAACTACATTAAGAGTCCATCAAAAAGACAACACAGGTGTATTAATATCCTTATTTGTTAACAATGTTTTTGTGTATTTTCCACAACAATCAATTGAACGTTTGTATATTAAGCAGTACTCACTTTGCTTTAGGTTTCAGATCAATGATAGATTATGATACATAATCAGCACACCACTACCAAGTTATGTCTCAATTAGACTATGAAAGGGCCCATCTGACATGCAAAGCGTGTTTGACTTAAAAGATTATTATCTCCAAATGAGATAGGAACTTTTAGAGTGCACTTGAGTCAGATAGGACTATCAAATTTTTGAACAACTGGAGTCTAGCCTTTAGTCAATTTGTAAATTGTCATGGCAAAGTGCAGCCCCAAGTAATATGTAAAATAAACCAAAGTCAGGGATTAAGAAAGTTTTTGCTCTAAAAATAAAAATCTATTTCAAAGTGAAGAATACATTTTGGATTGCTTAATTACAACCAATGGAAACACTCTTCACTTTGTGGTAGCTATTAAAGCGGGGTTAATGCTTTTTTTTACATCTGAGAGGCAAAAAAAACAACAATAACAACATATTAAATCCTCTATTAAGGCCCCACTCTCTCAAATAAGCCCTCCTTTTCAGTGGAAGAAAGTTTTAACAATAAGCCCCCCTCTCTTTTAACCCCCATCCCACCTCCCCTCCTTTTCTTATTCTTCACTAATAAATAAAAGACTGTATCAATCAATGACAACTGTAAAACTTTGTGTGGACCGATCCAGGATGGTTTATTCAGCAACTGGAAGTTCGGATTTGTTTTTGATCATCGGCTGCTTGACCTCCAACCTTCTTGTACTTGGGCTTTTTCAGTTGGCATTTTTTTTGTTTGGGGAACTAATATCAGCGTCTTTGCTAGATAAAATAAGGCCCCCAACTCTATTGCCCGGAAGCATTGTGAACAGGGTTAGATATCAAAGCCAATAACAAAGTCTAAAAACTGTGAGGTAGATGAAGATTGACAATAATTTTATTGCCTGCACCAGATCAAGTGACAAAATATCCAAACTGAAAAGGAACTGTTTAATTTTCAACCAAAGTTTCCTTGAATTGTCTTAACAAAATAGTGTTCTCTGGTTCTTGTTTTGAGAAAAAAAATTGTTTTTTTACATATCAGAGTTCAGTTAAAATGAGTGCAGACAGAAAAACAATAGTCAAAAACCTCATGAAGATCTGTAACAAAACTGACGATAACTTATCAGCTTAAAGTGTCCGCGACTTAAGTTAATACTTAGTTGAATTTCGGAAGGGAAGAGGTTTTAGAGCGTCATGACAAAAAATTCCCTGGCTTCTGAGGTCTGTTCTCGAAATTCCTAAGATGAAATAAATTGCGCTCACGGTTAGAAAAAGCTCCTCCTTTCACGAAAAAAGAAAACTGAACCTCTGGCACTCAGGGTGGGCAAAAAAAGTAAACAGTGAAAAAAGGTCGGTATCGAGTGCCGTGTACGCTACAGAACGTTCAGGGTTAAAACAAATGAAGGTCATTGAACAGAAAATAAGATCGCTATATCATTCTACCGTATCCCTGTGGCTTGTAAGTGCATTCTTTCATATTTTCAGCTTCTTTTGAGTTTGCCTTTGCCGCCATTTTGTTTGTTTTTCACCAGTCTCAAGACCTCGTACCCAGATCCTCTCACTCTTTATCTTGGCCGCCATTTTGAATAAATTTCCACTCTCCGTGGACAAATCAGTCACGTGATTTCTGCTGTGTGCCAGGGTCTTCTCTCCTGCCGCCGCCATATTGGAAAGCGAGAAGACCCTGGGGACGAGGTTGCTTAAAGTGTTATGTTTTTAAAGGCGAAAAATATCACTTCACATTGCAAACACATTTTCTCAACCAACGCGCAACCTTACACGTGATAGCTTCGCGCGCATTGGTTGAACTTCAAATGAACTTTGGCCGCCATCCCAGACAACACATGAAGACAGCCAAAATGGAGTTCACTTGACCTGGTGTTGTATAAATCTTCTCCGTACTGTTTTCTTGAGAAATTTATATCGAAGTACAGTATCTTATGAACTTCGACTTATAACATGGCAACAGGACCTTATATAATCCACAAGTCATCCCAATTCTGTGCGGCAGTTCGTTCAAATGTAGACTTTGACAACTCAGTTCGCAAGAGGATAAGAGAGGTCACGTTCTGCTTTAATGGCGTGGCCATGGACACTTTACCACCTCGGTTAAATTTAAAGAGTCTCTCAACTGCTGTAAACGCTGCTTGTCAACAGTTCAGAGAAAAGGGAGTAAAATATTTGATCAACAAACAAGATGTCAATCGGGCGAGGAAAGAATTACGGGGACAGTTTTATTCTCAGGCGAGTGAAGGCGATTTTAAGACTTGCGAAAATTCGATAGCAGAGAGTTCTACTTTTGATGTTCGTCTTTTGGACGCTGCTGGTTTTCGTTGGGATGAGGAAAGAGTTACGGATTACGAATTATACAGGTAAGAAGTGTGAATTAAATGTTCTAGACTTCCTTTTTATCTGTAAATTTTCTTTAATACTTCCTACAAGATCTATCGTTGTGATCAGTGATGAGCTCTGCACGCTTTATTTTACTGAGACTATACATTCTGTTCTTAACTCATCCTATTGCTTTTAAAATCCTTAAACGAAAAGAACGATGGAGAAGCTATGAGAGAACATACAATTTTAAGGTTAAATACTGTTCTCTTTGTTTTATTGTACAGTGGTGTGCATGCATGCAGTTGACGGGCTAGACCTTTCATGCATGTGCACTACACATGCAATTCTCCTTTCCGTGTTTACATTACCTGATATAAACACGAGAGGGGTCGGAGAATTCAAGACAGTATACAGTTATGCAGGCCCATCAAAGTCGAGAGTTTGCATATGAGATCCAAAGAAAATAAATGTCAAATTAACAAAATGACATCTTGCACATCAAATTTTCTGGGTCCAGTTGTTTGAAGGCCGTTTAGCCGTAACCCATGATTAAATTTTAACCCAGGTTTTTTGTCTTTTGTTCAAAAGCGTTGTCCCGCATAATTTTCTCTCTTCTTTTTAGTGCATCAAATCATCAAATTATAGGCAAAAAGAATAAAACTGAATTTGCCCTTCAAGCTTTCATATCTTAAATCAAATTTCACCCTAATTTCACTTTGAACAACCCAGCTATTTTACGTCAATATCACAATACTTGTGAATTTAATTTGACATATATTTTCTTGGGCTCCCATGAGAAAATAATAGTCTTTGGTGTTATTACAGATGACTTGACTAAACTTCAGAATACCTGGCCACCAAAATATTCCCCAACAACTCCTGCTACTGCAGTTGGCAGTCTGCAGTGCTATACTTTACATGTAATATACTTTAATCTACATGAACAGAAATAAGCATGCCATACATATAATATACCTCTGTTTTAATCCACAAATCCCAACTAAGCCAGTTGAAAATGTAGCAGCCATTCTACTTAACTTAATATTCGGTGACTTTGGGACTGCGTACCGTGGTAGCAGTACGTTTACACACTTACGTTAGTCAGTTTCAATAATATTACTGACTACGGGACTACCGTTGGTTGCATCTAAGTGTGTACACGTGAGGAAAAAACATCTTGTAATTAGACCCGTACGAAACTTGCAGCGCTGTACAGCGCCACAAAATCGCTGCAAAATAGCTGTACAGCTAAATTACAGCTGTTCAGCAGCCTTTTAGAAGCCAAACAGCAGCTTCATTCAAGTTACAGCGGGATGCAAAAGCGCTGTGCAGCCTTTGAAGGTTCTTTGAAGCTCTCGGCAGCGGTTTTGCAGCACCGTTGCCGACTTTCAAATGCTGCGAAGTAGCTGCAGCAACGCTACAATTCAGCTGCGGTCGATCTGACTTTCTTGAGCGCCAATAACATGAATCGCCAGATAAAGCCTTGGCACAGATTACGGCTTTTATAACGCGAAAACTTTGACTGTACCTCTAAGAAATGTGAGTAAGCTTGTGCGCAAAGAAGATCACTGTCTTATTGAATAAACCTCCAAATCCTATGCTTTCGGAATAAAGATTTTAATAAATTTCATTCCGTGACCGGCGAGTGTGGGAATGTTATCGCTAATTCCCTGGAGACATTCTAGGCCGTAATCTAATTGGTTGGTCCTTTTGCATGAGATCCCATTACATCTCTAGACAAACACAGAACATTTGCGACCGTTGAATGAAAGGCGCAAACATTCTAAGTTTTTTTGCATCTAGTTCTGTTTCGAGATGGAAGTTCTGTTGAAGTTTTTGGATGGAACAGCTCAAACGTATTTGCAAACAACGCACTGAACAGTGACTTCTACGCTAAGTATCAACGAATCGAACCAGAGCAAGCAACACAGATACAAGAATCTCAGATGGGGTTCGCACTTACAAGATTCTTATACACTCGTGGTAATGTTCGTTCCTTAGTCCATTGTAAAATTTAATGACGACCAAAGTAAAATTGGGTTGATTTCTTTTATGAAAAAAGTGTAGAAGATCTTGGATCATGGACGAAACGTCAAGGTGAGCAATGTCCAGCTTAGCCCGTTGCAACGAATCAAAAATTAATATCATTTGCCTAATGGCCGTGCATGTAAACTTTATGTAGGACAATCGATGTTATTCTCTTTATTTTTAAAAAAGATAATTTTCAATGTCTGCATGTTAATGGATGTTCTTACATTCAGATGAGTGACTGTGATTGCTAAATATTTACAAAGCGAGACTGTTGCAGATTTGTTCTATGTCACGTGCTTTTGTAACGTGTACGCGTGGATACTAATAAAGTATAAGTTGCATTTTGACTTTCTAGT